TGAAATATTGCATTTGAAATATTTCATTCACATTGCTGCTAGTGTGAAACCCCTATCACAATAATCATTATCTCATTAGATCTTGTTTTACATAGATTTTTTTCATTTTTTTTCACTTTTTAAATGACATTAATTCATAATTGTTTCATTTTCTTTCGTTTCTTTTCTTTCATCTTTCAATCATATCATTTTACTTTTACATCTTATTCGACAACGACGACGACGACCCCGATTTTTTTTCCTTTCATTTTGGGCATCATCAAATCATTCATTGAATTGATACGTACAAAAAAAAATGTTTGAAACACACTTGAATACACACGCATAATACTTAGATATCATAAAATTAGATGCTGCATCGTACAAAGACATTCGAATGCATGCCAAGGCAACATTATTAATGGCATTGAAAATGGCAAAGTTTCATCAGACATTAATAATAATTTTCCAATCAATTGGAATTGCGACATCGATATCTGGTGGCAATCGGCTATACAAAACATGTCCGATCGTTGTGAGCCTGTTTGGATTGATGCCGAAGATGATCTATTCATTCTATATACAAGGTAAAGTTTTAAGAAGAAAAAAAAACATCATTTTTCTAAATAATCATTTAAATCAATTTAATGATTTTAAAAAATCATTATTCATTTTAATTTTTTTTGTTACACATAGTGGAAGTACTGGAAAACCAAAAGGTGTATTGCATACGTTAGGCGGCTATATGGTTTATGCGGCAACAACATTTAAATATACATTTAATTATACACCAGATGATGTATTTTTTTGTACTGCTGATCTTGGTTGGATTACCGGTCATACTGTTAATGTATATGGTTCATTAGCTAATGCAGCAACAATTGTTTTGTTTGAAGGAACACCATTTTATCCATATCCAGGAAGATTATGGGAAATTATTGATAAATTACAAGTAAGCATATTTTATACGGCACCAACAGCAATACGATCATTGATGAAATATGGTGATGAACATGTGAAAAAATATAAACTTGATTCATTAAAATTATTGGGTACGGCTGGTGAACCAATTAATGAAGAAGCATGGTGTTGGTATTATAAAGTTGTTGGTAAACGTCGTTGTCCAATTGTTGATACATTTTGGCAAACTGAAACGGTATTCTATAAGCAAAGATTTTCTTTTATTCAATCCAATCAATCTAATTCTTTTTTCAAATTCCTTTTTTTTCTTGAAAAATTAGGCTGCACCAATGTTGACACCATTGCCTGGTTGTACGCCAACCAAACCTGGATCGGCAACATTACCATTTTTCAGTATTGCACCGGCAATTGTTGATTTTAACGGTAAAGAAATTGAAGGACCAGGAAATGGTATATTAGTGATTAAAAAACCATGGCCAAGTATAGCGCGTACTGTTGTCGGTAATCATGAACGTTATGAAATGACATATTTTCATAAATTCAAAGGATATTTTAGTACTGGTGATGGTAAGTTCCGTTCCATTTTATTCATTCTATTTTGTCTGTCTTTTTATAATTTTATACTTTCTAAAATTAAAAATTCTAATTATATCATTTTATTTTCATCTTGCTTCCGTTTTTTTCACTTTTTTCTCTCTCTCTCTATCATTTCTTTTTATTTATATCATTGCTCTTCTTTCATAAAAAAAAATCTTTATATAATTATCTCACGTTGACACCATTGAATGGTCAACATATGAAATGAAAAAAAAATTCATTAATATTCAATAATCAACAACAACAACAAAAAAAAGGCTGTTATCGTGATCAGGATGGTTATTATTGGATTACTGGCCGTGCCGATGACATGTTGAACGTATCCGGTCATTTATTATCAACTGCACAGGTTGAATCAGCAATTGTTGAACATAAAGCTATTGCTGAAGCAGCTGCCGTATCAAGTCCACATCCAATTAAAGGCGAATGTATATATTGTTTTGTCGTTTTACATAATGATTATGAATTTACTCCGGAATTGGAAAAAGATATTAAAGATCGAGGTATGTTTGAATCACAATTCATTCATTCATTTAATTTATAAAATTTATTCATCAAATTTGTTTTCCTTTTTCCCATGAACATTATAATTATTATTAAAAAAATTAGCACGTGAAAAAATCGGTGCATTAGCTGCACCCGAAGTAATACATCCAATCAGTGCATTACCAAAAACACGTTCGGGTAAAATAATGCGCCGTATTCTATCAAAAGTCATACGTAATGATACAGATTTAGGTGACATTTCAACAATGGCCGATGAATCAATATTGGAAGAATTATTTACAACAAGACATTTATATTCAATTGTTGCCCTTGATTGAAAATTCATTCATTCATTCATTCATTAATCATTATTTTCATTCGATCATCATTCCATTAATACAAAATTAATTCATCAAATTATCAAAATCAACAACCGTAAACAAAACAAAAAATTATCATCATCTTCATCCTCATCATCATCATTATTATAATTATAATTATTATTATTATCATCATTACAGAAAAAAATATCAGAGAAACAAAATCAGACAAACAAAAAACAATCCTTTATATTCATACCCTTAGCCATGAATAATATAAATATTTTATTATTATTATTATTATTATTATCTAATAAATAAACAAGAATAAAAATTGAAAAACCGAACAACAACAACAAAAAAATAAAATATGATACTGATAGTTATGGTAAAATAAAATGATAACTGATTGATTGATAATTTTATTTTTTCCACTGATATTGCATACCTTACCTGAAATTATTATTATTGAAAAATTTCACATGTTCTAGGATTACTTTTACTTTTTTTTTCTGGTTATTTGTTCATCTCTGTTCACTGTTGTTTGTTAACATTTTTTTTCATTTTTTCGTTATCAAAAATTTTTATCTACAAAGGAAGAGAAAAGTGTGTTGTTTTTCTGTTTTTGTTTATGGGGAAAGTACACCGCTACAAATGCGAATTTACTTACGAAATTAATTGATTTCGTAATTTTTTTTGATATCAAAAAAGCTAATTATCAGTATTATGATCCTTGTCAACATTATTAGGTAGCTTATTTTTTAAAAAATAAATTTCTCTGGAGCAATTTCGAAACATTTTTCTTGTTTGTTGAACATCATCAAAAAAAAACTTGAATTTCAACTTTTTTCTTCTCACTTTCACTTACTCTTTTCTTTCAATGATACAAAAATAACTAATTATCATCATCAACAGGCGAATGATCCAACAACAACAACAAGTTCAAACAATAACGGGGAAAAATTAAAATATTTTCTCTTTTCGCAAAAAAAAACTGATACATAACATTTATTGAATCATCAGTTTTTGTTTCAAAAAACAACAAACAACAATATCTAAAGGGCCTATTTAAATAATAATGATATTTTTTCCTTTAGTCCCTATATTTTTTGGATATTTGATAAACTGAGAGAGAAATAAAGTGAAAAAGAGAAAAATTTGGATCCTCATGTGATGATGATCATTATCCTCATCATCATCAACATGATTATCATAGTATCTTGTATCTGATAATTAATTTCTTAAACAAAAACAACAACAACAATCAAATCAAATCAAATCAAATAGGAAAAAAACTCGTTCTCGGTCTCTCTTTTTTTTTCCAACCAAAAGATCTTTTTCTCTTCCAGAAACAGAGTCCAGATAGTTTTCTCATTGAAAGATTAGTCATCATTATTATTTCATTGAAAGTTTGATTTAAACTAAAAAAATTCAATCAAATTTACTACGTGATCCTCTTCTATCTTTGTTGTTGTTATTATTTTGCAATGATACATAACTGGACATAACAACTTTCAACAAAAAAAAACTAGTTATCTCATAAAAAAAACATAAAAATCTCATCAAACACAGCTAGGACACTATATCATCATCATTATTGATAAATAACCAATGATAACTACTTATCGAACGTTAAAAGTAGCCAAAATAAAATAGAAAGTGCAACTAAATTTATCAGAAAATTGTAAGTGTATAGATTTGATATTTGTCCATTTTTTTTCTTCCGTCATTTCTTTTCTTTTTAATTATTTCTGGATTTTTATTTTTCTTGAAACAAGCAAGCAAAAAAAGAAAATACTGTTTTTTTTATAACCGAACGATCATTTTGGTAAAATAAAAATTTACATCATCATTTTATTTCGTTCATTTCGTTTATTGTGTTCAACAAATTTGAAGAAAAAAAATAATAATAATATCGAAAATGCCATTCACAAGTTTAACTGGTTATGATAAAATTTTCTATGATGTACAAGGACATGGTGATTGTGTGTTTCTTATGTTGCCTGGATCGATTGGTAAGAATTTTGAATTGAATTTCTTTTTTACATTTTTGTATTTTTATTTGAAATTTATTTTCAGGATCCACTAGACAAGAATATGGCCAACAATTTGATTATTTTGATCCGGAAAAATTTACATTAGTATCATGGGATGCACCAGGTTTTGGTCAAAGTCGACCACCTGAACGTGATTATAATGATTGTTATAATCGTGATGCTAAATTATTAATCGAATTAATGGATCAATTAAAATTAGATAAATTTAGTGTTTTAGGATTTAGTGATGGAAGTCGTACGGCTATTACTATTTCAAGCCAATATCCGGATCGTGTACATAAATTAGTATTATTGGGTGCAACAACATTTAACAGTCCAAAAGAATTAAAAGTATTCGATCTTTGTCGTGATGTTACCGGTTGGTCAGATCAACGACGTGGAATGTTTGAAAAAGTTTATGGTCAAGATTTACAAAAAATGTGGGCCGGTTGGGTTGATATGAATAAAGCATTGGGTGATTTTATGACACCATCATTGGCTAAAATTCAATGTCCAGTATTATTATTGTATGGTGAAAATGATATTATTGCACCAATTGATCCACATGCTGCACATTTACGAAAAAATCTTCAACGTTCACGTATACATATTTTTCCGAAAACATCACATCAAGCACATCAAGAACGTACAAGAGAATTTAATAAAATTGTTGAAAAATTTATTAGCACTTAAACTATGTATCAACGACACTAACAATTTAAAAACATAGATTTTTTTCCCTTTGCATGTTTTTTTCAATCCATTTTTCTACCATCCAATACATATTTATTATCATTCCAAAGAAAAAATTTTGAATCATCATTCAAATTGCAAAACAAATCAATTCATTTATATAATAATTATCATTCGTTTGAATGATAAAATTTATCATTTATTTCTCATAAACAAAAAAATAAAATGATTAAACACAAATATAAAGCCGTTTGTCATTTTAATCGATGCGCATCGTTGAATCAATGAGCATAATGAAAATGTCAATAAATAACAACAATGTACAACAATCCAAATTATTTTTATTAATTATAGTGATTTATTTATCATTTCAGCCATTAATTTTAAATGCAATGAATTTTACTGTCGAACCTATTCAAATTACCGATATTTCAGATCTTGGTGAAGGTCCATATTGGAATGATGATAATCAACAATTATATTATGTTGATGCATTTGCCGGTTATATTCATCGATATTGTCCACAATTGAATTTAGATGAAAAAATTAATCTTGGTGATTTAGTTACCATTATTATTTCAATCGATAATAATACAAATCATTTTATAGTAAGTTTACGAAATAAAATTGTAAACTTTGATTGGATTAACAAGACATTTGATGTTATTGCTGAATGTGCTGCCGAACATGGTGGTAAAGAACGTTTCAACGATGGTAAAGTTGATGCTGCTGGTCGTCTATGGATCGGAACTGTTTTAGAAGGATCGGATGGAGTTGTTAAATCTGGTGGATCATTATATCGATTAGATATGAATGAAAAAAAATTTATCAAAATGTCTGAAAATTTTACTATTTCCAATGGAATGGCCTGGAATCACAATAATACTTTAATGTATTTGAATGATTCAGAAGATAGAAAAATATGGCTTTTTGATTTTAATCTTAACACAGGAACCATAAATAATCGACGTATATTCATTGATCTTGATGATAATCAACATTCGAATTCATTCAAATCGGATGAATATCCAGATGGAATGACAATCGATTCGAATGATTATTTATGGATATCAATGTATAATGGTGGTCGTATAGTAAGAATTGATCCACAAACTAAACAAGTGATATTGTCGATTCCTGTTCCAGCACTTCGAACTACATCACTTACATTTGGTGGTAAAAATTTTGATGAAATCTATGTAACAACCGGTTCAAATTCAAATCAAACGGATACAAAAAATGAACAGGAAAAATATCCAACGGCTGGTAAAATTTTCAAAATCAAATTCATAAATAATGAACAGATAAAAGGATTAAAAGCTTTTCAATTTAAATTTTAATCAATTTAAATTTGAAATTTTATTCATTCATTAAAATTGACAAATGAATTGTATTGCACATGACTAGAATATTCACTCATCGTTGATTGAAATAAAATTCAATCTTGAATATTTAACGTATATGATGACTACAGAACAAAAAAAAAACTATAATTAAATACTAATAAAATCTATGAATAAAGAGATATAATTTGAAAAGTTGATGAGTTTTTTTTGAAAAGATGATTGCTAAAAATTCTTTAGCTAAATAATCGTTGAATGAATGCCTGATAATCATAAGCATCTTTAATTTCACGATTAGTTTTTGGATCAACATATGGTTTCATATGTTTTACGCAATAATCCACTTTATCCCATGGTATATTCTAGATTAAAAAAAATTAAAAATTTAATTAAAAAATCGAAAAAAAAACATCAAATAAAATAACATACCGCTTGAATTTCTTCCAATGTAATATATGGTCGATCATTGGCAATATATCTAAATGCATTATACATTTCTTCTTGTGTAGAGATATTTTCCGTTTCTTTACTAATCATAAAAGCAATAAAATCATGTAGAAAAACAAATCCACTACGATATGGATCAACTTCATCCAATATTTCATCAAATTCAGGATCTTGTTCACCTTCTTCGATCAACGGTAAATCATAGCCTAATGCACGCATACAGGATTTAAAATCTTTATGATTCAATTTTCCAATTCGTTCTTTATCAAAATGTTTGAACATCATTGTAAATTCACGTAAACTTTCTTCACTAACACCTGATTGATTTTTGGCTTGTATTTGTTGTTTTAGATTATTCTGCATACGCATCGATAATTGATTAATTTGATCCCATTGTTGTGCTAAACTTAATGCACTATGATTTGTATATCTATTTTCTAAAATTAATCGTTCTTCAAGTGTTGCTGTTAATCGTTCAATCTTTTTCAGATCTTCACGTTTTTTCATTATTTCTTCGGCTTTTTGTTGTGCAGATTTTAATTGTTCTTCCAATGTTCCTTGTGAATCCATCAATGCAACTCTATGGAAAAAAAAATTTATCAAATTTGGGTTAAAAAATCATAATAATGATAACAGTTACCTAATATATGAAAGCCATTGATGAAATTTATCCGCAACTAATGCAAATTCTTTTCGCAATTTATCATTTTCCATTTGTCTTTGATATTCTTTTTCCAATTCTTTGTTTCGTTCAAGTACAATTTTCTGTAAATTACGCCAAGTATCATTGATTGCTTCAATTGTAAACCATGTATAAGGATTTGGTCCCAATTTATAGGCTTTAATTTGTTTATCCAAATCCAATAATGTTTGATAATCATTATGTGCTTGTGATAATGAATCAATAAAATTCTGATGATTTTTTGTCAATGTTTGTATTTCATCTAATGAATTACAACGAACCTGTACAAACTATTTAATTAAAATCAAATTGTTACAAAACAAAAGAATATAATAAATTTACCGGATCAGTAAGATCTTCTTCAGCATTTTCGAACCATGAATTAAATGCTGATGCTTTTTTTGCAAATGCCAAAAATAAATCTTCAATTTCTTTGTATTGATTCTGAACATTCAATATTCGTTCACGTCGTTGTTGTGCTAATTGAAGAAGATTTTTCCATCGATTCATTAAATGTTCAAATCTTTTATTAATGTCTTCACGTTTAACATGATCACGACCAGGTGATGCTAATGCATTCTTGAATAAAGTTAAACTTTTTAAACTTTCCTGTTCGAATGCCTGTAAACTATTATCGAAATTGTCTTGTTTCTACGAAAAAAAAATCAATAGATTAATTCAATTCAAATTATCATAGTTTTATAATTACCGATAACGAAGCCGAAACAGTCGAAAGATCTCGACCAATTTCATCAGTTTTTAAATGGTGTTCTTTATCGGCAATCCAATTTTCAACAACATCGGCTTTCCACAAGAATTGTAGATAATCAAAATTATCAATCAATTTTTGTTTTCGTTTATCGGCTAATTTTTGTAGATTATTAAGTTTATCATGTAATTGATCCAATTTTTGTTCAACTTTTGGTGCACAAAAATTGCCTTCATTAATCAGACCACGTCCAGTCAATGTAATATCTTTATAACGATCCATATGATTTTGAAAATCCTTTTCAAGTATTGCATGTTTTTTCAATAATCCTTGTGCAGCTGCAATCGAATCACCACAATTTGGATCACAAAGTAGTTTATATTTTTCTGCAATCCAAGATTCTTCTTCTTCAACATCGGTCATAAATTGTTGAAAAATTAATGCATCTTCCAGTTTATCCGATCGATCTTGTAATTTTTTCTTCAAATCTTGCCAATTATTTTCCAAATGTTCTAATTTTTTTTCAGTTTCAGGTGCATTTGGTAGTGTAGTTTCGGCCATTAATTTCTGTCCAGTTTCAATAATATCTTGAATGATTGGTTCATGTGCCAGAACATCATTTTCAAAACGTTTATGTTTTTTTCGTAAATTATTCACACTAGCCAAATCTTTACCAAAATCATCCGAATCTTGTAATAATTTTTTTTCATTAATCCAACTATTCTGATCGTTAATATCTTTGAAAAATCGATATGTTGTTAAAGCATCATTTAGTTTAGCATTTCGATAATCGGATAGATTTTTCAAACGTTCATAACGTTCATTCACTGATGAACGTTTATCCTGTAATGCCTGTTTATCATTTTGATCCGATTCCATTAATGAATCAGCTAAATTATTCATCTTTTTTATCTTTTCACCTCTAGCTGCAATATCAGCATCAAGATTTTGTTGTTTTTTAATCATATTCTGTACGGATGCTAAATCTTTTCCAGTTTCTTCATTTTTAAGTAAACCTTCCATTTCGTTTAGCCAAAAATCTAAATCTTTAATGGCCGCATTGAAATCTCGACCTTTGTTAGCTTCACGTAATTTGAATGTTTTTAATTTGGTTCGTTCGATTAAAAATTTCCATTGTTCAGTAACAGCATCTAATCGTTGTTTGACAGCATCTTCATTTCCTGAACATTTTTGTTTTTCGATTAATTTTTTACCATCTTCTAACATTTGTCGAATTTTTTCTTCATTTGCACGAAGTTCAGCTTCAAATGCTTGATGTTTTTGATTCTTTGATTCAATATTAGTCGGATCACGATAAGGTGATTCATCTAATGCTGTTTGTAGTTTTTCATTAATCAATAATTCAATTTCATCAGCATCACGTGAAAATTGTTGTAATGATTGTGATTCACCAAGCTGTGATTTTTTATCCATCAATTTATTTTTCAATTCTTTCCAACGTTTCAATAGTTCGTTGATTTTTTTCTGTATTGGATCTGAATTATAATTATCTTTTTTAATTAATTGATCACCAAAATTAGCAATGGTAGCAATTTTTTGCTCTTGATTATCGATAGCTTTTCCCAGATCTTCATGTCGTTTGATCATTGCTTCAACATTATCATCATCATCGTGTGGTGTTTCCAAAAATTGTTCTCGTTTACCCATCCAATTTTCAGCTTGTTCACATTCTTTTTTAAAATTTAAATAATCCAATACCTGTTCCAGAAATTTTCTCTGTTTTTTTCCTTCATCGTTTAATTTTTGTCGTTTGGCTTTCATATCTTCTAATTTGTTCTTTATTTCAGGTGTAGCATAATGATTTTGTTCGATCAATTTTTCACCAAATTTTTCAAAATTCTTTGGAAAAAAACACAAAGGTTAGATATTTGGAAAAAGGTTCAAACAAACAAACAAAAACTTACATTAAATGGTGTTGAATTGGCATCGATTTCTTTTACTTTTTCTTGATGTTGTTCCAAAAGTGCTTCCGCTTCAATCGGATCATTTAATTCATGAGCTTTATGATCTTGTAATCGACTTAACATTGACATAATCCATTGTGCTAGATCATTAAACATTTCACGGAATCTTTGTAAATCATATAGATTTATTATTTTCTCTTTACGTTTATGTGCCTGTCCAAGTAATTTATCCCAATCTTTATTCACAATTTGTTGTTTATGTTTAGTTTGATCAGCTTGTTCTGGTCGATTGTTTGCCAAACGTGAAGAAGTTTCTTTCATTCTTTTGATTTTATCATTCAATGCAGCCAAATCTCGTTCAAGACCATCATATTTTCGTTTTAATTTTTCCACTGATTTTATATCATCTTCATCAATATTATCCAAATCTTTTAATGCATCTTCTTTTTCCTTAATCCAATCAATTGTTTCATCAATATCTCGATTAAAACGTTGTACTTCATTTGCACTTTCTAATTTTTGTGCTTTTTTTGCCGAAATTTCCTGCAATTCATTCCATTTATTATTCAATTGATTTACTTGTTGATCAATTTTTGCAGCCGCTTCTGTATCACCTTGATTTCTTAATTTTTCGGCTACATCTTTCATTTCGGCCAATTGAACTTCATTTTGTTTAAGTTCTTCGAAAAAATCATCAAATTTTTTCTGCATCATTTCAACTTGTTCTAAATCATCAAGTTTATCATCAATTACTTCAATAGTAGCAATTTGTTCTTTATCTTTAATCCATTGTGCTAATTCATTAGCTTTACGAGCTGTTTGTAATGCTTTACATGCATCTTCTAATTTATTCTTTCTACGACGACCATGATCCATTATGTCGGTATATTTTTTCTCAATTTGTTTTTGCCGTTGTGGAATTAAATCTCGATCCAATGTTCGTTGTTGATCTTTATCGGCTGGTATTGCCGTTTCAGTTCGACGTAAATAAGCAGCCGGTACAAAACCTTGTCGATCATTGATTTCTATTTTCCACCAATCTTTATTGTTAGCATTCAACAATGTTAAAATATCACCTTTTTTCATTGATACTTCACGTGGAGATTTTTCCTGATAATCCATTAATGCTACAACAACTTCTTTACGAGTTTCCATCGGAACAGGTACTTTTCGTTGTTTAAAATCTTCGGCACGTTTTCGAAGATCTTCAATTGTATATTTAAATGCATCAATATCATCCATAAGTGCATCATGTTTTTTCAACAAAGCTTCAATTGCATCTTCAGTTTTGGCTGGACCAATAGATGGATCGCTTACTATTGGTTCTTTTTCATTCAACCATGTTTCGGCTTCATTTACATCAGTAAAATATTGATGAACCAAAATAGCATCATCCAGATCTTCTTTACGTTTATTAGCACGATCAAGCAATTCATTCCATTTATCATTCAAAATTTTTATCCTTTCATTAATTTGATCAACACCCGATTTTGGCATTGATCCATCTTTGACCAATTGTTCAGCTTGATCAATTACGGCCTGTATTCTTGGCTTGTGATTGTTAATTTCCGAAAGAATTGCCTGATGTTTTTTCTTCAAATTCTGCGCACCCATTAGATCACGGCCACGATTCGATGATTTAATCAACGGTTCTTTTTCATTGATCCATGCAATTTGATCATCAATATCACAAAACAATTGTTGTGTTTTAGCCGAATCAATCAAACGACGACGACGATTTTTCACAGGTATTTTAATATTATTAAAACGTTTTATCAAGGCATTCTTTTTGGCTGCAATCTGATTCTTGTTAAAATGATTTTGGTCAATCAATTCGTTTGCTTTATTAATGATATTATTCACAGTTTCTTGATGATCAGACACTTCCAATTCGATAGCCGATTGTTTTTTCAACAAATTCTGCACATAATTTAAATCTTTACCCTTATCTTCAATGGCTAATTGACGTTCAATTTCATTTAACCATAATTCAACATCTTCAACAGCTCGATTAAATGCTTGTTCATCACCAGCATCATCTAATTTTGAACGTTTATTTTCAGCAGCTTGAATAAGATCTTGCCAGATTTTATTAATATCATTTGTTTTATCTCGAATATCATCCGATGCATAATGTTGATCATTGATTAATTTTTCACCTTTACTAATTAATTCATCAATTCGTGGTTGATTTGCTTCAATTTCTTGTTTAAAATTTTCAATCTGTCTTACTTTTCCGCTTAAATTAGTCAAATCACGCCATGTATCATCCAATGACATTTTAAGCTTTTCAACAATCCAAAATTTTTGATCATCATAATCGATTAAAAATTGTTGATAACGATAAGCATCATTCAATAGATTACGTCTTAAACGTGCACGTTCAAGTAGATCATCACGTCGTAATAAAAATGCTTGTCGTAATTGTTCAATATCATCCGAAGCATAATGATTATTTTCGATTAATCGTTGTGCAAATTCATCCAATGCATTAATTTTTTCCTGATGTGCTTTCATTGTTTTTTCAAAATTATCATGTTTTTTGATCATTGATTCAACCTGATCCAATGAATCACCAAGATCATTATTTTCAAGAAATACATCCTGTTTGTTCATCCATTGTTCAGCCTGTTCAGTATCACGATAAAATAATTGTAAATCCATACATTGTTCATAAAGAATACGTCGTTCTTCCCATAACATAACCAAAGACATTTTTTCATCATTCAAATGTTTTAATTTTTCTTCCACTTCTGGTACCATAATTTTATTCTCAATCAATTGTTTACCTTCATTTTCTGTTATTTGAAAACTATCTTCACGTGCATCAATTTCACCTTTATGTTCTTGATGTCGTTCGAGTAGAATTTCAGCACCAGCAACATCTTTAGCCAATTCTTCAGCATTGATCATATCTTTGATCAATTGAATCCAAAGTATTAAATCTCTATAATCGGATAGAAATTTTTGCACCTGAAATGCTTCATCTAAACGTTTTCGTCGTTCATCTGATTTGGCTTTTAATTTTTTCCATGCATTCTCTAAATTGGCTTTTGTATTACCAATATGATCATTACCAACTGAATGTTTTTTCAACAATTTATCTGCTTGTTTGACTGGAAATTTTTTTTGAAATTTAAATTTAAAAGAATTGTGTGCAAATAAATTTATTTCAACTTACTTTGATTATCAACTTTATCGCCTAGAGCGGCTAAATCTCGTTCAAAATTTTCATGTTTACGTTGTAATGCTTGTACGCTCATCAAATCTTTACCGAAATCATCATTGGCCAAAGTTTGATCTTTGTCGGTAATCCATCCAAGTGTTTCCATTGTTTCTTGTGTAAAATCATGAATCTCATGACCTGCGCCAAGTTTATCCTTACGATTGGCTGCCATATTTTTTAACTTTTCCCATTCATCATTCACTTGTTGCTTCTTTTTACTTATGACCGAAGCATCTGGATGTCCATTCGAAATCAACTTATTAGCCTGATCATTGATTTCTAAAATGCGAAATTCTTCACCGCTCATATCTTTGACAAGATCTTCAAATTTACGAGTATGAGCTTCAATATGATCAATATCATCCAAACTGTCAGCACCTAATTGTGTTTCTTTATCAGTAATCCAATATAGAATTTCATCACATTTTTTTGAAAATTGTAACAAAATTAATGCTTCGTTCAAACGAACACCACGTAACTGTATTTTCATGAACAACATGTCCCAAAGTTTATGTATCTCTTCTAAACGTTTCTGTAGAATAGCATATAAGATATTAGACACAAAAAAAAAAGTTATTGAAATTTACCTTGATTGTATCGCTAGCAAAATGTTGATTCTGTATCATTTGATTACCATTTTTGTCCAATGTATCGATTGCCGATGTATGGGCCTGTACTTCAGCTTCAAAAGCCTGATGTTTTTGAATTTTAATCTGAATATTTGTTGTATCTTTGTGCCATTCTTCTGAAGCAACTTGTAGCTTTTCCATAATCCATGCTTCTAATTCATCAGCATCACGTTTAAAATATTGAAAACGTTTTGAATCTAAAAGTTTATGTCGTTTATCTTGAGTATCAGCTTTGAATAAAACATATTTGCCCAAAACTGTATCACGACGATCTTGAATATCATCGACTGTTTCCAAAATTTTTACCTCTTCCGGTAGTAAAGTTGGTGACAATGGTGGACTATGTACCGGACTAAATGGTGATCGTTGTTTTGAATCTGATGATTCATCAGTTGTTGGATTTAAATTAAGATGTTTTGGTTTTGGTGGAATTTTCGGTTTTTCCGAAATTTTCGAAACTTTTTCCGGTTTAGGTTTTTCTTGTTCCATTTCCATTATTTAATTGATAAGAAAACAAAACACTCAATAATCAAATTTTTTTTCGGTCATCGCTACAAAAATTACTAAACGATGAATGAAATAATTTCGGAATTATATGCCTATTTTGTTTTATGTGAATGTTTACTCAATTCACCATCAAATATATGGGTGTGTTATGTGCCGAAAATAGCATCCATCCATCCATCCATCCATCAACATTACTTCCCTATCATCGTCATTGTAGCCATCATAAAACTAAAATGCAATATTCATGCCAAAAATTTCCATTCGAATGATTCTATAATCATGTTCAACAACAAAAAAAAACCACCCTTATGCTATGAATCATTAGCTAAACAAAATTCTATAAAAAGAATCCTCTCATCTTTATTCGAAAAATCTTAAATCTGCCAAATTTTCATACAAGACACATTGTATATGAGCAGTACATATTTTATTTCATCAGAAAAAAAATATTTGTTTTGAAATTTTATTTCTGCAAAACAGAATAGAAAATGTCTCAACCGAACAAAGATGCTCCAAAATCACAAAAAATAATACAAGTAAATTCATCATCAATTGTAGATTTGAAAGCTGAATTATTTCGAAAACAAGAACAAGTTCGACAGCAAAAAAATTCCACAGATTCAACAATAATACAATGTGATAAACATCTGTATGATCAAGGTGCCAACAAAACAAGCACATTACCCAAAAAACTTTTGGAAGCTGTGCAACAATCTGATGATAACAATAAACGAAACAAACAATCATTAATTAAGAAAAAAGATGATGAACAAGATAAAAAAGAATTAACTGAAGCTGAAGAACGTGCTTTACAGAAAAGTCGAGAGAATCTTGAAAGAAAAGCCAAATTATATGACCAAATTTCTAAAGGTCAAGTAGAAATTGATCCTGATGATGAAAATATCCTGGTAAATTTTAATCAAAAACATTCCATTTATGAATCCGATGAAGATGATAAAGAAGAAGATCTAGTCGAATATATTGATCAATTTGGACGAACAAAAATGGTCACTCGAGATGAATTAGAACAATTAGAAAAAGAACGTGAAGAAGAAGAACGTCGTGAATTACAATTACAAGAAGAAGAATCAAATTCAGATTATGATTCAGAGACAAATAATTTACCTCCTCCACCAAAACCAACTGTATCCAATATTCATTATCAACATGTTCGTGAAGGTGAAATTCGTGATCATGGTGTTGGATTCTATTCGTTTAGCGAAGATGAACAAATTAGACGTCAACAAATGGAAATGCTTGATCAATTACGTAAAGAAACTGAATCAAATAAAAATGAAAAACGAAGAATTAAAGAAAAACGAAAACGAATGTTAAAAAGTCGTTTGGAAAAAATTGCTGCACGAAAAGGTATAACATTGCCCATTGCAAAATCCGATGATATCGATGATGATGATGATGATGATGATGCGAGTGATGATAATAAAGATTCGAATAAAAAAATTCGTTTGGAAAAAGCTACATTAGAAATAAAAATACCACAAACCATTGGTCCACGAGAATGGGATCTAGGTAAAGAAGGTGTTACGGATACAAACATTCGAACAAAAACACCATTCTATTCGCAAGAAAGATATCAGGAAAAACTTCGCAAAGAACGTAATCCAGAATTTGCACCACCAACATTATATCATCATTCCGGAAAATCATCATTTCCAAATGAACGACAACGTTCGCAATCTAATTCTAGTTCAAAATCTGAACATCCAGATATGTTTCAATTTATAAAGGAAAAAATTTCCGAAATACGAAAAAAATCCTGAAAAATAAAAAGTTTTTGTTTTTTCAAAATTTTTATTAAAGTTCAAATTGATAAATTACAAAAATAATTTTCATTCAATTTTTTTCTCATCACTTGTATAATTCAAATCTCTTGCATCTTCAATATTTGCTGTTATTCCTTTACGAATAAGTATAAGTGTAACTTTGGCAAGTGTAAATGTCCAATAAAAATTGGTTAAATGAATTAAAATTAAAAGACCATAAATAAAAATATAAATAGAACCTTGATCAAGATGACAAAATTGTTTAAAATGATCAATTGCAATTGGTGAAAATATTAATGGATATGAATAAAGACGACTAAAACACCATACAAACAATGATATAATAAAAACATTAACACGTAAATAGTTTATATATTTTTTTAACAAATTAATTTGTAATTTTAGAAAACATTTTGAAAAAATAAATAAATCTGTCACTTCAAGCATATAAATACCTGCTATAACAAGAAAATCTAATCGTAGAATATAGGATAATAAAAATAATATGATACCAATCGTATGATGTATAATCCAAATTGATGCATCTTTATCATGATTATATCCCAACATCAATAGACAAGTAGAATGAATATATTCGGATGTAGTAAGCAGATAAAGTAATTTAATTTTGAATTCAATAATCATTCCAATGTCATCGTTATTGAATGTTTTTGTTGTTTCGTTATAAATATTCCATGCTAATAGAAAAACTTGAGTACGAAATATAAAAACCCAAAAATCTTGACAAAATTTGTTTCGATGTTTTTCCAACAAAATTCCTTTCGTTATTAAAATATTACCAATAACATTGAATATAAGATAACGAATGAATGAAATGATACCGATTGCTATAACGATATACGAAAATTCAGTTCGATAATAATTATTTTTCCGTATTAAATCGACCAATGATTCGGAAAAATCCATCCAAAATGGTTTATTTGTCGAACATTTCATCAGATGATATGATCCATTTATAACATCAACGTAACGATTAATAAGATTCATTATGATAGATTCGTTCAATGTTTTCGAAACAAAAACCATAAGAAAAATGAATTGATCTCTTTAAAAAAATCAATAAAAACTGTTTTTTCACACATCAAATAAAATTTCTAATCTCTTCAATGTCAGATTGTTATCGCTACCAAATAATTATAATCTACATATTTATCAAGCAAATAATTTGTAATTTATCTGAAAAATTAAAAAACATTCGTTTTTTATATCAGAAAATCTTGTCGAATATTAAAATGACATGATTAGCCGATCATTGATTTCGAATTAAACATCATAGATAGTCATATAATGTGATCATATAATGATGATTATCACTGTATCCTGATCGCCATCAAAAAAATCATTCTCAAAAAAAAGATTCGAAAAATCTATCAACCAATTTTAAAAAAATTGTATACGCCATCTGTTGATTACATCAAAGATTATTATTATTTTTTTAAATCTTAAATTTTATTCAAAATCTCAAAATGGAACAAAGAAATAAAGAAAAAAAAAGCAGATGAAATACATAATAATTTTTCAAGTTCAATAATTCTTACATACAATTTATATGTTTTGTTGTTGTTGTTGGTGTTGCAATTCTTAACATGAGCATTATTGAGCTCTATTTCTATCTAATTAAATTTTATCAAAAATATAAATTTTTTTTTCTCTCAGTCTTTCTTTCTATAATAAAAATTGGAAAAATTATAATTCAATTCAAAATGCTGCTTGATTGTAGATTTTTTAAAAAGGAAAAAGGGTTAGATGGGGATGTTATGATGATGATCCATAGAATTTAATGGAAAAGGGGGATATTTTTTCGATGTGAAGGATCATCTTTATTGTATTTTTTTTTTAGTTTGAAAAACATTCTTTTACATTCTATGATAGCAATGTACTCATGCCACCCAATTCATTTTGTTCTTTGACAAATATTTCAAAATATTGATAAATGATGGTGACAGCCAATAAGATACCGGTTCCACTACCGATTGCTCCAAGAAAATCGGCTAATACCGATAAAGCGCCAATACATAGACCACCAAAAGCAGCCGCCGTCGGTATGTAACGGTTAAGTTCATGAATCATTGATTTTTCACGATGACCACGCATAACCATCTGTTGTTCTTTCAATTGTTTAGCCACATCTTTGGCACTTGAACCGGAAACTTCGATCCAGGTTTTGGAGAAAAATGCACACGATCCTAACATGAATATTATATAAAGGACGGCATGAACTGGATCTTCAAGAATATGGCCCAATGTTTCTGGTGGTGATAAATAGTAACAAAGGCCACCAACCGGATAGGCACGTGCAGCGCCGGCTGTATCCGACCAAACACCAAGTAAATTTACAAAGAAATTTCCACTAAATTTAACGGCCAACATTTGTGAAATGACGTACAGATTTGAAACCAAAGCTGATTGTAAAATGATCGGAATGTTTGACGTGTAGAATAGTTTGATCGGATATGAACTGTATTGACCACGGTAACGAGCTGATTTAATAGGTAGATCTACACGGAAACCTTGGAAATATATAACAATAGCGAAAACCAAAACTGTAGCCAACAAATTCATTAGATTTGGTAGATTGTTACGATAGAAAGCTTCACGAAGTCCACGAATTTTGTCCTGTCGTGTGGCCAACAAGTGGAATAAAGCGATGATAGCTCCTTCGAATTCAGTACCACGACCAGTGTTCACTGTTGCAGGAGAAAACGCTTTCCAAACGATAGTTTCACAAATGTTTGTAGCGATAAACAATGAAATACCGGAACCAAGACCATAACCTTTTTGTAATAATTCATCCAACAGCAAAACAATCAAACCGGCAACGAACAATTGAATGATGATCAGCATACAAATACCAGCACCAATATCACTGGGATCGCCATACATTCCCGTCATGACGTAAACAATAGCCTGACCTATCGTAATAACCATACCGAAAAGTTTTTGTGCACCATTGAACAAAGCTCGATCTTTAGGCGTATCACCAACTTCAATGATTTTAGCACCGGCCAACAATTGCATAATCAATCCCGATGTAACTATAGGTGATATACCCAATTCCATTAGTGTACCACGATTAGAAGCCAAAATAACACGCATCCAATAGAATGGATCAGCCGAATCTGATGACATTATACCAAATAATGGTATCTGGCAACAGACCAAAAAGATGAACAAAGTGATAGCTGTCCATAATACTTTTTCACGGAATTGAATTTTTCGTTCTGGTTTGGCAACTTCGGGTAATATGCCACAGAATGGTTTGATCACTTCCAAAAATTTTATGGCCATCTTGACTTCAACCGATCATAAATCAATCAATAACAAATGTAGAAAAAAATGCGACCAGTTAATAACAATAATTTTTTTTTGTTGAGAGAATTTTGAAAGAATAAATGATTCGAATAGTTTCAAAAGAATCTATGAACGAGAATCATTCATATGGTGTGTAAACAGAAGAAAATTTGTTTGATGTGCTGGCGGTGTTTGAATATTGTCGTTTCTTTCTTCCGATGATGATAATTTTGGATGATGATGATGATGATAATTTAATGATGATCGTGGGACTGATTGATTGGTTAGTTGGTTGTTTGACTGGATTTTTGAAAAATAATTTGATTATTTAAGAAAAATAAGCTTACGTTTGCTTATTTTCTTTCGATGAGAATCGAATTTTTTTTTCTTTTTGTTACTGTAATAATTCAAATAATCAATTCCATTTAAGCTATGATTTAAAAGGAACAAAAAAAAATTTATATTTGGCCGGATTGATGGTGATTTTCCACGTAGACTCTTCTCGCCACTCGATGAATGTGTGTAGCGGTTGTGACGTCAGGTTATGATGAGGCTTTCGTGAAAATGTTTTTTTTTTGTGTTCGAAAGTACTGTCAATAAACAATGTATTATTGGATACTCTAAACATATAACGTATTTTTGGAAATTAATATCGGATTTTTAAAATATTTTCATTGAAAATTCTATAATTAAATAATACATCAATATAATAATAAATAAATAAATAAAAGTTGACGAAGTTATTTTTGAGTTTGAGTTATAATTTTCATTTTTATTTTTTGTTTTTATTTATTTACATTGAAAAAAAATTGTATGTAAATTTGAATGGAAGTAATATGGATTATAACGATAATCAAAAGGTTATCAAATTTTACACACGAAGTTCAACAAAAATTTCTTGCAGATAATGCTGAAAGACGATTAATGGAATTATCATATAACAATGGTTTGATCAATAAATAACATTAAACATTGAACAATTTTTTTTTCAATCTTTTTTTTATTTTTAAAAATTTTCTACAGCATTTCGTTCGGCTGTGGCTATCGTTATTATTTTTACCGTTTGTTTTACTGTGATCGAAATTTTACGATTAATTTTAATCCATCGATATCATTTAGAATCCGAAATAGATGATCAAACTGATCTTAGTTAATTTTCAAATTTTTTTCTTAAAACAACGAAAATCAAATCAAATCAATCGAATATATAGAACACAAGATGGCACCATCGATCGTTTCATTGATATTTTTATATTGATCATGTCTTGTTAGCCATTTATCAGAAAAAAAATATTCTGTCGATATATATTCGGTGCTTGATTCTGTTTATATTGTGTGTTGCGTTTTTTTCCACATTTCTAAAGACCACCACTATTTTTTCCACTATTTTATTACAAATATATTCTAGTCATGAATAATTGGTTATTGAAAATATCAAGTATCTTAAATTTTAATCATCATTATAATCATCGATATATTTTAAATAATATCGAAAAAATTAAATCAAGAATCATGTCAACCAATCGCTATGATCATACCACCACCACCACTATTAACAAAAATTTAAATAATCATAATAATAATAATAAAATTGCAAATGCTATTGTTGTTTGTGGACCATCCGGTTCGGGTAAAACTACATTACTTAATATGTTATTCGAACATTTTAAAAATGAACTTAAATTTTCTATATCACGTAAGAATAAAATTATAATTATTTAAAATAAATTATCATCATTTTAATTTAAAAATCGCGAAAAATAAATAAATTAGACACGACCAGAAAATCAAGACCAAATGAAATAAATGGAAAATCCTATTATTTTGTTGATCGTTCAACATTCGAACAAATGATTACCAACAAAGAATTTGTTGAATATTCACAATTTTCAGGAAATTATTATGGAACCAGTATTCAAGAATTGATTGCCAATGAAAAAAGTGGTCTTTTATCTGTTCTTGATGTCGATATACGCGGTGTGATCAATTTGCAGAAAAATAATATTCTTAAGGCTAAGTATATTTTTATTAAAACTCCAACCTTACAATTTCTGGTAAGTGTTGTTTGTTTTTACAATTTGTTTTGTTTTAATAAAATATCCATATTTGAATTTTGAAGGAATCAAATCTACGAAAACGTGGTACCGAAACTGATGACAGTATTAGTGTTCGATTAAAACATGCGGCTGAAGATTTAAAACAAGCAGAAACATTACATTTTGATCTCATAATAGAAAATATTGTTCTTAATGATTCATTTGAAAAATTACGACAATTCGTCCAATCGGTTAGTGTGTGCATACATTGTTGTTGTTGTTAATTAATTTTTTTCACCTCTATTTGTAGGAGCTGACACGATTCAAAGAAAGTCAAAAAACAAAGTTGTAAATAGTCATCATTATCGTAAATGATGGGGGATAACATTTTTTTTATTCTAACATTTTGTATCAAAATTCTAAAAAAAAATTTTATTTAAAAAGATTATCTTTTAAGAACATTAATAAATGTTTCCGGATCAATTTCAACATTGCCCACCATACGCATTCGTCGTTTACCTTCTTTTTGTCTTTCCAATAGTTTTGTTCGTCGTGTTTGATCACCACCATATAGTTTGGCTGTAACATCTTTACGATATGCTTGTATATTGGTTCGGGCCAATACTTTTGAATTGACAAGAGCTTGAATTTTAATTTTAAATTGTTGACGATTTAAATGTTCCTGTAGTTTATCACAAATTGAACGGCCATAAGGACGGGCACGTTTTGCATGTACAAGCATTGATAATTCATCAACTGGTTTATCATTCAAACGAAAATCCAATTTAACTAGATCAGCTTCTTGATATCCATCATCTTCATAATCAAACGATGCATAACCCGAACTAATCGATTTAAGATGATCATTAAAATCGATAATAATTTCACCTAATGGAAATCGATATTCCAATAATAAACGATTATTATCAATATATTGTGAATTGATCTGTTCACCACGTCGTTCCATACATAATCCTGTTATTGGATTTAGAAAATTATCCGGTGTTATAATTGTTCCTTTGATCCATGGTTCATAATATTTTTCGATAATTTGTGGATTAGGTAATTGTGAAGCATTTGTTACTATCAATTCATCCGTTTTATAGAATTTAATATTTTTCTCTCCACGAATCTTAATCTTATACGGAACACTTGGAGCTGTTACCACTACTGGTGCATCGAATTCATCATCTAATCGTTGACAGAAAACTTCCATATGTAACAGGCCTAAAAATCCAAGTCTGGAAAAAAAATTAAAATTTTAAAATCAATTTTTTTTTGTTTCAATTTATTGTAATTACTTGAATCCGTTGCCCAAAACTGGATGTGATTCTTTACTCATCTCTACACTGCTATCATTTAGCAATAATTTTTGTAGACTTTTATTCAAATCTAAAAAATTTGATTTTTCACATGGATAAATGCTAGCATAAACCATTGGAGTTGATTTCAATGATTTTGTTTTTGATTCTTTATGATCATTTAATATTTTTAAACCATCATCATCATTATGAACCAATAGATCACCAATCGATATATCATCATTGTCATGTATGTTGGCTACTAAAACACCAACCTGACCTGTATGTAAAGTTCCAGGATCACCTGCAACCGGTATTTGATGTGGATGTAAAATATTCAATTCTTTCACAGTATGAACTTTGCTCGGTTTTGTGTTGAATACAATTTGATCACCAACTTTGATTTGTCCATCAAAGATTCTTATCAACAGAATGATTCCTTTGAATTTTTCATACCATAAATCAAAGACGACGGCTTTTAATTGTTCATTGCCCGTACTTTTTGGTGGTGGTAACCTTTCGATGATAGCATCCAATACCTGTTGGACTCCATCACCTGTTTTGGCAGATACTTTAAGAATTTCATCACGATTGAATTCAAATAATTTTTTCAATTGATCCGATACCGATTCAATATCAGCATTTTTAAGATCTATTTTATTCAACACTGGAACTATGTTGAGATCGGCGAGTAAAGCATGATTGAAATGTGCAATCGTTTGAGCCTGTACACCGGAATTTGCATCAACTAATAGCAAAGCACCTTCACATGCAGAAATCGACCGCCAAACTTCGAATGAAAAATCAACATGACCAGGTGTATCAATCAAATTCAGCAGATAGTCTTCACCGTTATGATGCCAAAATAGTGAACATGTTTGTGCTTTGACCGTGATGCCACGTTCACGTTCAACCTGAAGATTATCCAAAAATTGATTTTCGATCGAACCTTTAGCAACCGTACCAGTTAATTCGAGCAATCGATCCGATAACGTACTTTTACCATGATCAATATGTGCTATAATACAAAAATTTCGTATACGATCTGGAGTAAACCTTGAAACATCGATTTTCTATTCAAAAAATTTAGTTTTTTTATTTCAAAGTAAATTCAATGGGAAAATATTACATCTTTTTTGCTTTGTTGAATTTTTTGTACAAGTTTTTCATTTGTTGAACAAAATCTCAAAAGATAGATCGAAGGATCGATGAATGATTGTGATAATTGCTTAAATCGGCTACGAATCTTAAATAATCGACTATAAGATAACATCTTTATTATAAGAATAAAAATATTCAAAAATTTTAGCATCACATGCAGCTGATACAAACAACTGCGTCATCTATTAACAAACATTAAAAACTAAATCATTTAAAGCCCGCCAAATCAAATGCTCATCAAAAGTTCATTAAAAGGAGAATGACTTTTGTTAATTGGTATTGTTTCACGAAAAATTTCCATAGCTTGTTTGTAATCAATGATTAGATCATCATGCGTTGTCATTATCATCATTTGTTTGCTTAAATCAAGGATACGATTTATAAGATTGAAATTCTGTCAAAGAGAAAAAAAATTGTAGAAAAACTTAGCACTTTAAAAATAATCGGAAACTTACAAAAGTATTTTTGATGAATAAATCATTGATTATAGCTAAAAGTGTAGACATATGAAATTTTTGTATATTTTCAATATCAGCAACTGATTTAATATTGGTGAAAAATTGTTCCATTCGATATTCAATACAAAATTTGACGTATGTATAGAAAATACCCGTAAATCGAATAAGGGAATAAAGTAGAAACCATTGATCAGATTTAAGCTGACAATTCTTATCAACATTATTAAGATGATTTTTTCTTTTAAATATAAGAACCTGTCGTTTCCAATATTCTATCAATTGCCAACGAATAGATTTAATTTTCTGTAGAAATGTGAATATCGATTGATATTTACTCCAAACTTTATCTGTAAGTACTATTTTGACTAAATTAGGCAATCGAAAAGTAATTTTGAAATTCATATCATTCGAATTTTGTGTCGATAATGATTGCCTATGATTATTATCGATAATTCGTTCTTTGATTGAAATAAGATGTTGATAAGTTTCAGCTTCATGATCATCAAATGTTCGATATAATGCAAGATTGAATGCCTTACGAATTCCATCATCATCGATGGATTTTAATTCCAAAAAGTTTGTCCACAAAAGTTCATTACCATGTAGATAAAATGTTTTCAAATGGCTAATAAAATTCATTGAATCCTCTTTCAATGATGTTTCTTTCATTATGTACTAAAATTAAAGAAGATTAATTTTTGTAAAAGTTTTGTTTTTTGAAATGAATTACCGTAAATACTGTGTTGGCTAAATCGGCCAAAAAATAACGAAACAAAACGGTTATATCATATAATTCCATTCGTTTTTGATAATATCGCCAGAATAAATTAGCATCAAAAAATTTTACTTTTGAATTTATTTGTGTTATTTTTCGAACAGATTGACCAATATCGTAGATTTTAATTGCATTGATTGGATCAATTTGTTGAGGTACTTTACTAAGATCAAGCGATGTATTTGAATCGAGACTACTTTTTTGTATGAAAAATGATTGCTGATCTAACGAAGAATTAAGTGTTCCTCGAGTAATCCAGGTGAAAATCTTTTGATAAAATGGATCATATTCTAATTCGATGCTTTGATGATTCAAAAAAATTAACTTGATTTCAGAAAAAATCGATAACACTTACTTTATCATATATTTCTCTTGAAGAACTTGAAATAGCTCAAACAACGTTTGACAATGTGGTCTTTTTACTGTAATTATACGCAGAGTATCATGGAATAGAGGATTATACTAAAAAAATTAGATTTTTCATTGATGTTTTTGATTGAAAACCAATTCGAATTAATAACTCACTTTGAGCAATACGTTATAATTGCAAAATTTTTCGCTTTCAATCAACGTTTCAATTATGCCCAAATCTTTGAGAAAAGTTTGCTTAATTAACGACGAAACGAAGCGATAAATAGTGAATGTGAACTCATCGATGGCTAAGGATAATCGTAGAAAGTTAGTTAAATGATTAAATAAAATTGAAAACTTTACCAATGGAAAATTCGACTAGAATTTGGTTTAATTTTTGATATGTTACAATCAACAAGGCCAATTCTTGTCGATCGAACGGAGACAATTGATTGCCGAAATTCTTATCATTTAAAAACTCATTAATTTCTCGAATGAATGGTGATGTAAATTCTAAAAGAATTCGATACAAATCGATTTCGTTTCGACCAAAATGAATTAATTTTGCCATCATAATCATCAATTAAAAAATTAATATAAAGAACCGCCAAACAAATTTATCGATAGTATCGCGATGGTAGCGAATTTAAAAATCGATTAGTATTGAATTTAACATCGGCATGTCTTTTTGTTTTTGGATCAAGGATCAATAGACAACAAGCATTTAAAAAAAAAATCAAAAATGAAACTTTTAACACATAATTTTCTAACATCTAAATGTCTAAAAGGTGTTGTTACGGGTTATCCCTTGAAATTAGTAGTAAGTTTTTTTATCGAATTTTAATTCAAATCAAATTAAAATCTTTTTGATACATTAATATATAGGTAAATGAAATGAATCAGACACAAGTTGATTTTAATCCTGATTTCATTAAACGAATATTGCCTAAAATGGAATACGATGCACTTAGAGAAACGGCAACAACAGTTGGTGTAGAATTACCTGTACAAAAAGATGAAACAGGTAATGAAGATTTTCTTCGACAATTACATCATGCATTGCTTGAAATCGAAATTGTCAATGGTGATTTAATATGTCCGGAAACGGGTCGAAAATTTCCCATTAAGGATGGTATACCTAATATGTTGTGCAATGAAGATGAAGTTTAATCATTACAAACAATATATTGATTGTCATTCTTTTCGTTTTTGGAATCCGGAAAAAAATAAATTGATTCATCAACATCATTCATCATTTCTTGCATTTGTTCTTTCCATCTAATTACTTGTCGACCTATTGCGCCTTGTCGATTCTTTTTTTGTGCCCCTATTTTCATTGCTCGCTGATCCGCTCGTAGTTGATCTTGTGGACCTTGTCTCATCTGAAAATCGGTTCCAATTCGAACATTTATAGGCCCCAATCGTTCACTTCGTTTCGTTCTATGTATAATAATAATAAATTTTTTAATGAATAAATCCTAAAAATAAAACTTACATTCTGTTGTTTGCATCTGGTCCTTTTTGATTTTCTTTATTTGGTCCATGTGCAAGTTTAAATGTTTTTCGTATTATAATTCCATCCTCTTTGGTACATGTAGATTTGTCTTCCATTTTTTGGTCTTGTTTTTCAAATTCTTGATCATCATCATCGTGGTCAAAAATTTCAACAATGACTAACCGTCCGAATAGATCCTGAGTTAAAGAATTTGTTTGAACATGTCGCGATACTCGAATTAATCGTTTTGGTTCAATTCTATCTAGTAATGTACGTTGTAGATATTTTTCAGCATCTTGTGGTGTCATTGTGTCCAGAAAGGAACTAGCCAATTTTATGTCGAATCTGGTAGCTTCAAGTGCTCGATTAACAAGGAAAATATCCACCGATGGATACATTTCGATTAGATTCTTTCTAACTGTAAATGAAATTGTTGAATTAAAAATTATGATTTAATACCTTAATTTGGTTTTTACTACTCACTATCCTCTTGTTCCCATAAATTTGGATGATATTTTTCCTGAAATATTAAACTCTTTGGTCTTGAAGCTTGTAGTCTTTCATTTGCCTCTTTAAGCAAAACAGTTTCCGAAAGTTTTGACATTCGAATCTCGATATGTTCAGAATGTTCATGACCGTTCAATTTCAAATATTTGATCACACGACCAGCATCGAATTCATTTTTGAACAATAAATCAAGCAATTCAATTTCATCAATATCAGGAAAAGCAAATTTCAGATATTTTAATTTTAATTGTGGCCGTTTTGAATGTTTATATCTTGTAGTATTGAATAGGCCGAATAGATTGAGCAATGCTTCGATGGTAGGATGTTCACGATTTTCATTTTGAATTAATAATTTTCGAATGTATTCCGGTTCTATATGAGGAAATGATTGTCTGATTTTATAGAACAAAGCTTCATCAACCATAATACCGGTAACTGGTTGTCGGCTATAATTTTGTGCTAATAATGCACTGATTACTAAATTTTCACGATTTCGATAAATTCTACTCAGATGTGTAATATATGATCGATCGACATTAGGAAATTGTCTACAAATTCGATCAATATTTGCTTGTTCTTCGCTAGTTGCACGAATTCTTCGCATCGATTTTTTATCAGGTGATGGTTGTAATTCACCATATTCATCTTCGTCTTGCCATTCATCTGATGATGATGATGATGATGATGAATTTTCATCATCCGATTCACGTATAAAATAACTATGAAAATAATTTGTTTTTTTATAATAGTAACAATATAATTCATTAAAATCTTACTATCGTTTGGTTTTTGGATCAAATTTACAAAACCAACCAACCGGCAGGATATGATCATGGGTAGCCGTTCGAAATGTTGATAAACCATTGCTTGAAGATCGGCCACGAATAATTTGTTCAACACGATAATGATTACTATCGAATGGAAAAGTCATTTTGTTTTTGTTTTCTTGTTACACTTGACAAAAATTCTCTACGAATTCAAAAACAATGAATCCATTCCACCCAGAATTGAGACTGTTCCAATCTGCAAGAATCCGGGGAATTCCGTTATTTTTTATACTGTATGATCAATAGATGGCAGCATTGAAGCACGATTAATTCAAACGTGTGCGCGGCCTTCCCGACATTTGATCGTCGATCCATAAATGGAAATTAGAATCATTTTTGAGCTTGTATCAAAAAAAATTGTTGTTAATCATTTTTTGTTCAAAACAATGTTTCATTTTTTAAAATTAAAAAAATTCTTATTTATCATCATAATTTTATCAATGTTTTTATTCATTTTTTGGATAATAAAACGATTGGTTACAGCAAAAAATCAAGAATGTCAACTAAATTATCATAATCATAAAATTTATAATCATATTGTCCAATATCCATTCAAAGTGAAATCCTGTTATATTCATACCGATCTGATTATACTTGTTCATTCATCATTAGATCATTTTAATCATCGACAAACGATAAGAAAATTTTTACAAACAAATAAAAATTGGTCAATTGTATTCATATTGGGTCAACCATCAATAAACAATAAAACATTGGAAAACAAAATAAATTATGAATCCAATTTGAATGGTGATATTCTTCGTATGGAATTTGTTGATTCATATCGAAATCTTACATTAAAACATTTGTCCGGACTTTGGTGGCTGATTAAACATTGTCATCATGATAATATTCTTAATGATGAAACGATTTGGATATTAAAAATGGATGATGATATTTTTATTGATGAAATTTTATTGAAAAAATTTCTAAAACATTTATCACAATTAAATGAAAGTGAAAATCAAATTTATTGTTATCGAATGGATAATACTAGTCCATTACGTGATCAAAAATCTAAATGGTACGTATCGAATACTGAATATTCTTACAATCTATATCCATCATATTGTTCCGGATGGGCATATCTTACAACAATCGATACAATCAAAAAATTATTATGTCCATTAAATCATATGGATTTATTTTGGATCGACGATGTTTTTGTCACAGGAATTCTTCGACAACATACTAATATTAATCTAGTTGCCATTAATCATTTATTCAATCTGAACATACAAATATTATATAGATGGCTCGAATATCATGGCCAAACAAAATGGTTTTATCTATTTAGCCAGACTAATAATGATTGGTATGCGATGCAAAAAGCTTATAGACAAAGAAAATTTTTGTTATAAAATAATAATTATTTAATCATTGATATAAATAATAATAATAATAATAATAAAACTCATCAACTCTTGCTTTTCATTCAATAACATTTATGTTTTTTGAGTAGTGTTTTAACATCAAATCGATTCATGTATGTGGATGGAACAATAACAACATTATCATCGAACAAGAAGCAATTATCTTGAGGTGTTTGTTTGACAAACATTAACAAACCGGAACCTGTTTCCATTTGTGGACATGTTTTCAAACATTTTTCATTCAAAACGAATTCATAATTTTTGTTTGATTGTTGATCATCCGTTGATTTCAGTTCTTTTGAAACGTTAAACTTTAAACTATTTTCGAGTTCATCAAATTTAGATTCGAAAACATGACTGTAATCGCAGATGCCTTCAAATTCATCGTCGATATTATCGAAACAGGTAGGACATGAAGTCGGTTTATTAGCGCAAACATCGCTAACATTATATGATGATGCATAATAATCTTCAAACAAGTTTGTGCCACGGAATAATGGAAATTTTCGAATTAACGATCGTTTATATGATGATGGGGCTAGTGCAGCGTATGATGGTGGAGCCGGTGCACCGTATGATGGTAAAATTGGAGCACTCAAGTTATACGATTCTATTTTTTTCGAATAGAGAAGTTTAGGCATGGGAGCTGGTGCAGAATATGCTTGTGGCGAATAAGCAGGTGGTGGTGGTGGTGGAGAATAAGCAGGCGGTGGTGGCGGCGAATATGCCGGCGGTGGTGGTGGTGGCGAATAAGCAGGTGGTGGTGGTGGTGGAGAATAAGCAGGTGGTGGTGGAGAATATGCCGGCGGTGGTGGTGGCGGCGAATAAGCAGGTGGTGGAGGTGGAGAATAAGCAGGTGGTGGTGGTGGTGGAGAATAAGCAGGTGGCGGCGGTGGCGAATATGCCGGCGGTGGTGGTGGCGGCGAATAAGCAGGTGGCGGTGGCGAATATGCCGGCGGTGGTGGTGGTGGAGAATAAGCAGGTGCTGGTTCAGAATATGCTGGTGGCGAAGGAGGTGGTGCAGAATATGCTTGTGGCGGCGGTGGCGAATATGCTGGCGGTGGTGGTGGCGGCGAATAAGCAGGTGGCGGTGGTGGCGAATATGCAGGTGGAGATGGCGGTGGAGAATAAGCAGGTGGTGGTGCAGAATATGCTTGTGGCGGCGGGGGTGGTGGTGCCGAATATTTCGGTGTAGATGGAATATAGACTACTGCCGGTTTATTATAAGCTCGGTTATCAGTGTCAGCTTTGTCAAGGTTTTCGATTGATCTTCGATATGATGAAGCTTGCGTTGGATGTGCTGATTGATAAATTTTCTGGGGCGAATAATTAGGATTTTTAGATATTTGATAACCAACTTTGACTAATTTGGGTGGACTGTATTTGGGTCCTTTTGGGTCAACACGATTATAACCTTGATTATGATAGACTTCGGGTACTTTACTATACAACTTATATTTTGCATCAAAATAACCAGTGGTTAATAATCCTGGAGGTTTTGTATAAATATTATTATGTGCATATGAAATATCCTTTTGGGCATGTGGATAATCTGCCATAGCTGCGGCCGGATAGTTTGGCTATGAATCAGATATCAAACAAAACAAACATCGATAATGGAATAAATAAATCTCATTGTTCAACACACTTGCGTCGGGGATACTCACACTGTCGATTAAATCTTATATTTTTATCAATATTTACTACAAATCTATAATGTTTATTTATCCATGATAATCAGCAACTGATGATTGCCCCGGCGTAAGTGTGCTGACCCATAAATACCCAAACGAAGAAGAAAGAATTGGAATTAAAATATTTTGAATACTTACAGCATTTCGCGTTAGTGTAGCCTGATTACTGTTAGCAATTATATGCTGTAGTAATGCAATGGCAGCATCACGAGTCAATTCTGACGTTGATGGCTGGACAGCTTGCGGCTGGACTGTAGTACCATTTTGCTGTTGTAGTTTTGTTTGATCGTTGGAAGTTAATTCTGGCTCTGTTGATGATTTAGGTTGGATATCCAATAATTGCGGTGTTTCTGGTTGTGATTTTTCGCCATTGACCAATTGTTGAACTTGTTGACCAACACTTTGAACAGTTGATTGAATATTGGCGGCTAACGAACCTAATGGATTGCTTGGAATCTCAGGATTCGAAGCTCGTAGGGCTGAACATTTACTTAGATCATCACAAGTGCCTGCCGATAACATTGCAACATCATCCAATGTAAGTACTTTTTGTTTTTCATCAAAATTCTTTTCATCCATTATTAAACAATATTTTTGATCATAATTTATGGCATCTGGACATTTAAATCGTGCTGCAATAGAGATATCGGCAGATTTAATTGTTTTCAAATTATCTGAACCATGTTTAACATCAAATGATTTTAATGCTAAACATCCATCTCGTTGTACAAATTCAGCTTCGGATACTATAAATGCAACAATGAAAATTGAAGTTAAAATGTTATAAAACTACTATTATTAATTTAATTACCAATTTTAGCAAAGCAGATCATATTTTTGAATTTTTCTTGTTGTTCAACATTATAACATTGTTGTGGTTCAGGTGGACATGAAATTGTTCGAAAAAGTGATCTATAATTGAAATTAATTAATTAAAATGAAATTATCATTTCAAAGTTTGAACGAAAAAAAAAGAAACTTACTCGCCAAAACCGTAAACGGTCGTAATGGCTAATAAAACAATGAAAAATGACCTAAGTATCGTCATGTTGAAATGACAAAGAATGGTCAATATGAAAAAAAATGAAAATTGTATTTGAAAAAAAATACAAATAAGGTGTTTTAAATTTTATGCTTGATCTTTATTCTTATATCAATCCTGAATATCCAAATCAATCAATATAATATGCTGAATTGACAATACAAAACAGTACTGTCTTTTACAATTTTTTTTTCATAATTTCTTAAAATCGACTTTTATATACAGTTTATGGCTGTATATTGAATTCTTTTTTTGATATGAATTTTTTTTTTTGGTACTTACGTATTAGACGCAAGGCGAAAGTTCTAAAACAACTTAAATGCATTATATATTTTTTTTAAATCAAATATTTTTATCAGCAGTTAGGTTTTCCTACCCGGAAAACCTAACTGTCCTAACCTAAACTAACCTGCCTAGATTAAGTTTGATTAATTAAAAACCAAAGAATGTTCATCTGCCCTATTCTTTCTTTATATAAGNAAGTTATAAAACTACTATTATTAATTTAATTACCAATTTTAGCAAAGCAGATCATATTTTTAAATTTTTCTTGTTGTTCAACATTATAACATTGTTGTGGTTCAGGTGGACATGAAATTGTTCGAAAAATTGATCTATAATTGAAATTAATTAATTAAATAAAATTATCATTTCAAAGTTTGAACCAAAAAAATAAGAAACTTACTCGCCAAAACCGTAAACGGTCGTAATGGCAAACAAAACAATTAAAAATGACCTAAGTATCGTCATGTTGAAATGACAAAGAATGGTCAATATAAAAAAAAATGAAAATTGTATTTGAAAAAAAATACAAATATGGTGTTTTAAATTTTATGCTTGATCTTTATTCTTATATCAATCTTGAATATCCAAATCAATCAATATAATATGCTGAATTGACAATACAAAACAAGTACTGTCTTTTGCAATTTTTTTCAAATTTCTTAAAATCGAATTTTATATACAGTTTTTGGCTGTATATTGAATTCTTTTTTTTGATATGAATTTTTTTTTGATAAATTGTTGCTTAGTATCATCATTTTTTTCAAAATTTCATTCATATTCGAATTGAATTGATTCAAAAAAAAATTTATCATTATTATGATAGAATTGAAATGCTAATTAAGCATTTCGATTGAAATTAAGCGAAATAATGATGATATTGATCCAATTTTATTTTCATATATTTTTTTTTGGTGCATTTATCATTTAATAATGCTGACCTAAGTCATACTCAGCATATATCGGTGATATCAATAATCAAGATTAGGCGGAAAAAAATTTATGGAAAAAAAACTTTTTATTTCGTATGTACAAATGGCGAAAAAAAATGGTAATTTTTTACATGTTTAAAAAAGAATATATTAAAGCATTTTATGAAAACCTGGTTGCCTGATCATTTTAGCGATAACCATATGGATGAAAAAATTGATGAAAATCATTATTAATCATCATTGATTTGATTACGAATATTTCGTTGATTAGTTTGCTTTTGCTTTCGTTGCTTGAAACCGATGCTTATAGTTTTATCATTTTTCGATTTTTTTGTATCCAAACTTTCGACAGTTCGCTCTTGGAATTCAAATGCAGGGCGTTTTCCTTCACGTGATTCACGTTCTTCTTCTTGTTTAGTTTGTTCGATTTCGGCTACAATTTGAGCAACATCTTGTCCAGGCAATTGTAGATCAACCATTTTGGATGTATCATATTTTTCAATGGTTTTCCATCCACCATACGGATCAATTCGATAAACTTCGGATTTAACATCATCATCATCTGTATTAGAAGTACCAGACTGTTGCGTAGCCATTTTAAGCTGTTCTTGTTCAATTATACTTAGAAATCCAGATTTGGGTGGATCTTTTCGTGTTTCCATTGTTTCTTTGTTCCAATAATAGGAATCTCCGTCTGAAGTTTTTGCTTCCAGCCATTTACTTTTCTTTTCGAATGATTTGGCTATAGTTTCGAGTGCACGTCGTTTACCATTCGCCAAAGTTTGCGATTCAGCATCACCGAAATCCTCGCCAAATCTGTTGGTCGAAATAACTTTACTTGTACTACTTGATGGACGAATAATTTGTGATGATATCGATTTGGTTGTTGCGAATTCAGACGTTAATGATGGGTCACGAGAAACATCATTCGCTTGGAATGATTTCAATGCAGCAGCTTCAATTTTAAGCATTTCATTTTGATATTTTTGTCTTTCACGTTCTTGAATGGTACTGTTTTTTTGGATCTATATAAATCAAACAGATTAATAAATCATTGATAAATTTGCAATAAAAATAACTTACATCATGAACTCTACGACGAACATTTGCTTGATGACGAAATCCTCTTTCATGAAAGTCTCGACTCTAAACAAACAATAACAATACAAATCAACAATAAAATTTCGAATTGAAAACAATACTTACAGCTTTATTGTCGGTAATCCAACATTTACAAAAATCACAATATTTTTTCGGTAATGATTTCCAATAATCGGCCATGATTATAAATGAAGTTACATCAGCTGTTTGCCAGTTGTTATATAAAAAACCATTTCATCTGAAACAACAAATAAAATCGGCTATTTAAACCTGATTGGTATGAATGAAATTTTATTGAATTTTGCAAGTGGGCGATCAAGTTTTATTCCAAATATTTTACAATTTTTTTTTTGTTTTTAAACAAATAAATAATCTGCTAATGATCTCTAGGACATTGTTTTCAAATTATTTATAATTATGGGAAATTTATTTGGTCGAAGTAAAGCACGAGCGGCCAGAGAAGCTAAAGTTTCAGCCACTGATCGTGCCATTCTGGTAAGTTTTGACATTTTTTTATCAAACATCAAAATCGTTCATTTGTTTTACGAATAGCAAATCAAGCAACAACGTGATAAAGTTAAAAAATATCAGAAACGTTTAACAGCACAGATTGATAATGAAGTTGAAATTATAAGGAAATTGGTCCAACAAGGTCAGAAACAGTGAGTAAAAAATTTTTATTTTCATAAACCAAATGATTTAATTGATGCCATTTGCAGAAAAGCATTGTTATTATTGAAAAAGAAAAAATATACGGAAAAAGTTTTGGAAAAAACCGACAATGAATTGATGACTATCGAAAATTTGATCATGGATATTGAATATAAAAATGTCGAACAAAATGTTCTGAAAGGAATCGAAGTCGGTAATGAAGCATTGAAAAAATTGAATGCCGTATTCAGTATTGAAAAGATTGAAGCATTACTTGAAGAGACTGAAGAAGGAATTCAAAAACAACAGGTAAATTCTTTTTCAATGATAATCATACATGATCAAATCCCTTTAACAAATATTTTTTTTCAGGAAATAAACGAACTTATAACCGGTATTCGAGTTGGAAATGAATTATCCGATGAAAATGATGATGAACTAAATGAAGAATTGAATAATATTCTTGGCGAACAAGAAATTCAAAGAGAACTTCCTGAAGTTCCTACAGAAGAACTACCTGAAATTGGTAAGCATCCCGCATTGATCGGCAAAACGTTCAAAAATTTTTATGTTTTTTTTGTCGTTATAGAAAAACCAGAAAAAATCAAAGCAACAAAAGAAAAACGGGAACGTTTATTGGTTGAAGCTCAATAGCTTTGGAAAGAAAAAAACCTTCTTAGGCCAATCACTGTCATTTGTTTTATATATAATAATACTGCATTGTAATGATTCAAATTTTTTTTTCTTTCATATATAATGATAAAATTGAATTTGCTATACACCATCGGTTATAACAATGATTATATTGAATCATTCAATCGTTGATAATGAGAAGGAGGTATAAATTTTTTTTTTCTATGATATACAACTTTTTAAAAAAATATAATTGATCCATATACCAAACATTTTTGAATGAAATGAGTTATTTCGAAAAAAAGCAAGATAATAGAGAAACAAAAAAAACCTAAGGAAAAAAAGATCATCACTTTGAGCCATTATGTCGATCCATTAATGGAAACGAATTGTCGTCGAATGTAGAAAAGAATATATGCTTTGCTTTTCATCACGGTATCCTCATTACATATAGTGACGGATGAATCATTAAAATGATGCCAACAATCATGATGTGTTGCATATGATGTATAATGACCTGAACCAACACCATTACCATGATGAACGATAATTGCTGCCAAATCGTATAGTGAAGATCCACAACTATTTCGTGTACCGTGCTATAAGTTGAATTTTTTTGTTCATCATTAAATGACCAATATGGACAAAAATACAATACTTACAATATTTGAAAGAATAAATGGACTCATATCGAGATCTTTGATAGGAAATCGGATATGAACGTCCAATTTACTGCGAAAACAATCACTCCATTTGAATCTTTTTAAATGCAAACATAGAACCTAGTGTGTAAAAAAAGGATTGATTTTTTTTTGTCGATGAAAAGTAAAAAATAAACATACATTCGGTAATCGTCTTATCCAGAATTTTTTACTTGATCGTTGTTTTTTCTTACATGTAGGACAATTATATAGCTCGGTTTCACCTAATTCTTCTAGTTCGGTAAATTTAGATAAACAATCTAAACGGAAAATTAGAATGATCAAATTTTTTTGAATAATTTTATTAATAAAATTTATTACCAGTTAGAAGATAGTTCGAATTAGAGCCATTCGAATCTTGTGTACTTGGTTGTGGTATGTCCAATGATAGATCTAGAATGTCAAATGATTATTAGGAAAATACTACAGACAGATAAAAACTTACCAAAAAATGGATCATGTTTTCGTGATTCATTTCCACATATCAAACATCTAACTTCATTCTGTAAAATGCCACCGAAAATAGATGTTACCATTGTTGATTTATTATTAGTACTCAATATGCTTATATTATGATTAGGAGAATAGATTTTATGCTGTTGTTGATATTGATTATGATTGAAACTGGACAATTCTGTATGTAAACGATCGAGCATATAACGTAGAAATTCATGAGCATCTTGCGGTTGATAGCCACGAAATCGTGGAACAATCTTTAAACAAATTAGATAAATATCATTAAATTTGTTTTGAATAAGAAAAATATTTCATACAAAAAAAACATACTTTCCATATCACAGTGAACAATGATTCTGGAGAGATCACAGATTTACCACCTTCCCATAGTAACAGAATGGTCTTACGTAATTCTTTTGTCACCAGGCTAGAATTTTTCAAATAATAAAAAAAATATTATTCGATCTATAAATTACTAATTATATGGGAAATAACTTACGTATCTTGATTTTCGATCGATTGACAAACAGAATTTGGCAATTCTTTGAAATAATAGCTAAATAATTGAATGTTACTATAATGTGAAAATTTATCGATTAATTTGAGAAAATGATGATAATAACATTCTAATAAAACCATACCATAATGATTGTAGGACGGCATTCATGAAACAAGTGTTGCCTAAATTTCGAAGGCCTGATGCTTTAAATTGACATTTTTGACTATTCTTACGTTTATTTTTATGTTTCTGTATTTGATTCTGATGACGATTCACGTGATTAATAGTCGATTTTTTATCATTATCATCAACATCATCATCATCAATAACTTTGTTATGAATATGTCGAATTAATTGACTATTTTCTCGATGAAGTATATGTCGAAGTTTTCGAAAATGTTTATAACAATTTTCATTGATTACAAAATCATCACATGCGTAGCTAATTGAAAACAAAACAAAAATATAAATCTTTATTTAAAAAAAATTATAAAAAATTACCAATAGATGGACAAACTATGACAATCAATGAATATAATATGATTTTTATGTTTAAAATGGCAATTAGCATGATCATTAGCATAACGGTCACAGTTCAATATGCCACAATGGATACACATCCAAGTGTTACGTTTTGATCGACAAACTATTCATTGTGAAAAAAAAGAAGATTTTGACAGATAATTTTAAGTAAAAATAAAATCTTACCTGAACATTCAAAATTTGTCAAAATAAGTCCCTCTTTAATAAATGGATTATTAATTTTGGTTATCTGTTTTAGATGTGGACATTCCATTTGTTATCGATTATTATCAAATATCAAAATCAATATTTTCTTTTTCTTCAGAAAAATTTAATTTCTAAATTTAGTCAATTTTCGTCGTTGTCGTTGTTCAATTTTTGTCTTATCTATTATATACAAAACAAATTGCGAATGACTTTCGTCAATTCGCTTTAATAATATTGAAAAAAATAATAATAATAATAGACACGCACAATGGATTTTTCCAAAACGAAAAAGAACAAAAATTCTGTATACTGCAGCAGTGTTGTATAAATGTATGCGATTTGGATTGAAGAGAATATTATCGATATCATTCAAGGCACAGACAATGCTAAATTATAAACGATTTGATGACGAATTTGATTGGCATTGTGTGTGTAGAAAATCCAAACCACTACCACCAACCAATCAGGATTTCTCTGTCATTCGTAATGCTGTCGTCTGTTTATTTTTTTTTGTGTATTCTTCATGTTCAATGCCATCTGATGAGATTTAAAATAACTTTCAATATAGATTTGTTATTTTCAAAAAGAAATATTTTTATTTATATTTTATATTTTGTTGATATTTCAGGGGAAAAATTTAGAAAAATAAAAGTCTAAAACAAAATCAATGATGGGTCAAAAAGGAATAAACAGTGAAAGAAAAAAAAATCAAAGTTAGAAAATTCGTTATCTGGATCAAAATGAAATGATTGAGTGTATTCACAAAGTGAAAATATTCAATTCTGGTGATTAGGTAATGGATGGATGAAATGCAAACAAATTTTCGTTGCCATTTAAACACGAGCAAAAGCTGAACAGAAGTGAACTTTAAACCATGATTCGATTGTGATGTCTAAAGACTAGTTGACTGAGTTGATATATGATGATGAAAGTTTGAGTATATTAGATAGAATATGTTATATCAAAAAAAAAAGATTGAGAAAATGAAAGTGAGTAAATGTATACACAGCATGATGTGATAAGGAATGCATAAAGAAGCGGATCGGATTCAGATCAATTGATTGATCTATTCAATATAAATGTTGAATGGTATATAAGGTACTGGTTCCTGAGTATAGTAATCATAATCCACAGCCGTTGTAATCATATTAGTAACCGTTGATTTTGTTTGATTCAATAGTGATGTGGGTATTGATGGTTCTGATGTTGGTGGTTGAAGATTTGATGCCAATAGTCGACAAGTAAGACCGATTCCAACGTTTTGTGTGGGTGAAGGCAGCCGTAAGGCTACAAATGGTGCCATATAATTGATTTGTTTCTTGTACGGAAAAAATATGGATGAAAATCCCTGATATGGAGTGAATTCCATTGGTCCGATATTTTCGGCATCAAACTGTGTATTGGCTGGATGTGATAAAAAAAGATGAATTTATTTAGTTAAAATTTACAAATTAAATGAAAATATGACTTACTAGTACATTCCAAATCGACAATGCCCGTAGTGTCAGTGTCATTTGAGCCAAAATTTGGTATCCAATCGGTGATATTATTGAATACGATAAATATACATGGACTACCCGACATGTAGCCATAATCAGGTTTCAAACATTCACTGGCAATGGTATTCAAATCGAATAAACAAACAGTATCATCGGGTATCGATGATCGATCGTTGACAGCACAAAGCGATGCATTGATTGGTCGTCGATATGGTGCAAGAAATTCATCAATCTCTTTAACCATTTCCTTCCATGATCGGATACCTGATTCTTTTTTCAGATCGCCATGACGATAATAGATAAGATTCGTAGGACCACGAGGTCGTGGAACAATTCGCAAAAAACGATGAGTTTTATCATCATTCTATTAACCAAAAGAGAAATTTAAAATTTGAAAGAAAAAATAAATAAACTTACATCAGCATTAAGAATCAATAATGTTATGATGACCGCAATGGCCAACAATAATAGAACACAACCAACAACACCGATAATGGCACGAATTTTTTGATCTCGTAACATTTCTTCAACAGTTTCAAGATTTATAACTGTTCGTTTCGTATTCTGATTGGATGCTTCGGTATCTTTATCCAATGTAGATAATTTTTCTTCCAGACCTGTCGATTCTTTTGTAACATTATTTTCACCACCTTCATCACTATGTTTCGTTAATGGTGTTGTTTCATCCGTTTTTGTTGATGAATTCATCTTTTGAAAATTAATTTGATTATTATTTTTTTTTTTTTGTAGAAATCAAAAAGAGTGAGGAGAAAAAAAAGAAACACTTACATCTTTGAGCGGATATGATTCATTTTTCTTGCCATTTTCTGTTTGTGATGATGCCATCTTTATTTATTTCTACTTCTATTAAATGTTGGTAAAAAATGAACAAAATTTTAATATTTTCACAAATAAACAAACAAACAAAAATCATTCAATGTCGAAATCAATCAAATCTATTTGTTCATATTCAGACAAATGCAAAAAAATACACATTCATCACATAGTTAACAAAATTGGTATATCATTAAGATCAATTTCCGCGCCACGACTCTAAATATATGAAAGAACTTTTTGTTTAAATGAAAATCATATCCGATCTATATATATCGGCCATGAGCTATGATGATAAACTTAGTTAATAACAAAATGGGCAACAAAAAAAAATAATAATAAGATGATGTTGTATAAGATGCTCACACTTCTCCTCGGGATATAATTTGCTTTCAGGTCAAATTTTGTTAAATTTAAGAACAAAAATAAAAAAAAAATGCCTACCACCAATCAATCTATTATTGTAAACTGTTTTCAAGTTTGTAAATACGAGAAAAAAAAAGAATTATAGATGAAGAAGCCAAACAAAAATGAAATTAAAATAATAATAAAAAGTATCACTTGTATGTACAAATTTAGATATTATATAGAACTTGAACAGAAATTTATTCAAACAAGAGAAATTATCTTCATTCATTCATTTCAAGAAATTATCTTGAAATTTTAATAATAAAAATAATGATAATAATCATCACCAGAATCGGAACAAGGTCACAATTATTGTTTTCAATTCTAAACACGCATACACACATAAACATAAACATACAAATAATGACAATCGTAATGACGAAATTTTTCGTGGATCGATCCAATACGGGTAATAAACAAAACAAAAAAAAGAAACACAAATGAAGATAAAAACCACAAATATTACCTTTACTATATGAAGAAAGTATTAATTTTAGCTATTTAGTGGAGAAACAAATAAAAACTCGTAAAAAAAAAGAATGAATGATTATCCAACAACGGTTATTATTATTATTATTATTATTTTCGGATGATCTCAATTGAACTCTGACCGAAATTCAAGATTTTAACGACAGAAAAAAAAGAAAAACGAAAAAAAATATTCGATAAAAACTTTGGGAAAAAAAAGGGAGGAATAGTTTGAAATAGTAGTAGCAATAATGATAATGGATAGTCATTATATACCACTCCTTCTTTTTTTTGTTTGTTTGTTATATAATGACCACAACCCTGCATAGTGTATGCACTGAATAAATTGATGTGAAAAAAGGGGGAGGCTGTCCACTTCTGATGAGTCACACACACACGAACACACAATTTCGAATTTTTTTTATATGCGCGGTATTAATGTATCTTTTTTTTGAAACTTCGATTCGAAAAAAAAAGATCTCATCAAGTGAATATAATCCACAACAATTGTCAAAGCAATTGTTGAAACCTTTCTATTTTTCTTTTCACATTCATCATCATCAATTGATGTTATCAACTTAATCGTATATGAAGGGAGAAAATGACAATACAAGATGATGTAAAAAATGATTGAGAAAAAGGATGCGGATCTATCGCCATCAATATAAACCGCACACATCTGTCAGATCATTATAAATCTTAACGGTTTTTTTCACCTATCCAAAAATCTTCAAAAAAAAATTTCTATTTTTATATAAGGAGATTGTTTTATTTGTTGAAAATATCTATAGGTTTTTATTTCAAAAAATATTTACCATTTCAATTGAAACACATGTGTCTGTATGGAAAATATTGTCTGTCCATTGGATGTTTGTTTTTCGAGAAAAACAAACAAAACAAAAAAAAAATTCTGGCTAAATTCGCGCATAGATATTATCGATTTTAAGTATATAGAATCGAAATTCTTTACCATGATTTTTGTCTATATTTCCAGAATGCGAATTTGTTGTTGAAAAACAACAAAAAAGTATATAGACTGCTAGATATACGATACGGTAAATAATAAGAATTTTTTTCTTCTCAGAGTTTTTCAGAATTCGAGTCATCATATTCATATTATCAAATGGAAAAAAACAATAAATTAAATTGACGAAAATTACAATGAATTTATGATTTGAGAAAAAAAAAACAAAATCTTGTTGTTTTTTATTTCAACATTTATCAATTAAAATATCTGTGATAATTACAGAAATGATTGATTTGAAACAAAAAGAATCAAAGAATCAATCATGTCACGTTATCGTTGTCTATTTTTTCTTTGTATCATTCTGTCAATCATATTTATTGTTACAATTAATACATCATTTCGTTGGTATCAAATTCCTTTGACAACATCAACAACAACAACAACAAATAAAATGAAAATGAATGAATATAATCAAAAATTAGTGATTAAAAATGATCCTGATTATGATCGATTTCTAATCAATCAAATGACTGAACAAACAACAACAACAACAACAACAACAATGATAAATATAACTAATCAATCATCAGGAAAGAAAAAAAGAAAAAATCAATTACTTCGTCATTATTCATTAATATTGAATGAAAATTTTAATCAATTACCTTGGTTTATGCCAAATGGTACATTAAGACCATCAAACAATAATAATAATGATTTAATATTATGGCCAGAAGAAATGACTGTAAATGATGATAAATCAATGAATGATCGTATTATTAATCAATTAATGTATATACCAAATAATTATGATGAACAACAATTCTATCCAAAAGGTCATCGGTCATTGAAAAAAATTCTGCTTGCATTTGGTAAACAAAGTTGGCCAGGTTTACCAATGGGTAGACAAATATTTATTGAAGATAAATGTCCAGTTAATGCTTGTTTTATAATGAGTAATAAAGCATTGATTGATAAAGCTGATGCTGTTATATTTAAAGATCGTTTTATTTGGCCATCAAAAGGACGGCCATCAATCAAACAGATATGGATACTTTTTCTACTTGAATCACCATTACATACACAAGTATTTTCTAGTCTTCCATCAAATGTGATTAATTGGACAGCTACATATCGTCATGATTCGGATATTGTTGCACCTTATGCAAAATTTTTTACCTTTAATAATTCAAAACATCAAACAACGGTAATACATCAAATTGATTGATTGATTGATGATTGAAATTAATTAATTATTCATTTTCTCATTGTCATTTTGATTGATCGATTGATCAATCGAATATAGAAAAACTATGCCAAAGGTAAAACAAAAAAAGTTGCCTGGTTTGTATCGAATTGTGGTGCAAAAAATAAACGTCTTGAATATGCACGTGAATTATCACGTCATATCGATGTTGATATTTATGGCAGGTATGATTAATAATTGTTGAGATTATGATGAAAAAAAAACTATAATAACAAAAATTCTATTTCAAACCCAAATTTAGCTGTGGTGAACATAAATGTCCACGTTCAAAAGCAAATGAATGTTTAGATATGTTAAATAATGATTATAAATTCTATCTTGCATTCGAAAATTCAAATTGTCGTGATTATATAACTGAAAAATTTTATTTAAATGGTTTGGGTGAAAATCGACCAGATTTAAATATAATACCGATTGTAATGGGTGCACATCCAGATGATTATCGTCGATCATCACCACCAAATTCATATATTCATGTTGATGATTTTGAATCACCAAAACAATTAGCAAAATATTTAAATCAATTAGATCAAAATGATGATGAATATAATCATTATTTTGAATGGAAACAACAAGGTTTATTTATTAATACATATTTTTGGTGTCGTTTATGTGCATTATTACATGCTAATGATAATGATAATGGTAAACCAACAAATAGTTATGAAAATATTCATCATTGGTGGACATCAATATCAACATTTAATATACATGATAATGATTTTAATAATAATAAACAGCCTATTTGTATGAAAAATACAATTCAACATTGGCCATTCCTTAATAGCAAATCATCATCATCATTAGCACAGCAAAAATAATATTTGCCCCTTTCGTTTTTCATTGGTCTTATTTAAAGTGCAATCACATATTGTTGTTACATATTTATTTAAAAACACCACCTTCTCCCTGAAAAATACACCCCAAACACACAAAAAAACTATAAATCAAATTGTCCAATTAGTGTTGATTTTTTTTTTGTTAATTAATTACAGATCAAACAAAGATATTTGTAATAGAGAGAGAAAAAATAAAAAAAATGGCTGTGATTTTTATTCAAAAATAGATTTTTGTTCACTTTCTTATATTCTGTATCATTGTCGGAGCTTATTCTGTAAAACTAGAAGTAAGTAAGTAAAATTTTTGCGAAAAATTTTCTGAAAAATATTTATTCAATTAACGAGAGAAAAAAATACAAAATAATTAAGATATATAGAGGAATATAAATGATGATGATTATGTTTATTTGAAAATTGATTAACATTGAATCAAAAAAGAAAAATGTTTGTGGGTGTTTTTTTTCGTTGTTGATGTTGTTGTTTGTTGAAATATTTATGATTTATGATTTACGTTTGAAAAAATATAATGCTATTAAACCAAAAACAATTGTTGTACCAATATTTGCCAATAATCCATGTACAACATGAAAATGATTTAAATTCCAACCACGTAACATTACATTACGTAATGATTCAACAGGCATAGCAATTGGTGTTATACTAAGAAAAAATTTAATTAATGGATCAAATGATACGATCGGAAAAAATGCACCACTGGTAAATAATTGACTTAATGTAACCGATAATGCGATAAAAAATGCCGAAAAATTTACTTCACATGTTGCAGAAATAAGTAATCCTGTAAAAAGAGAAGAATAATTTTCAATTATCATCAACTAATTTTGAATTGAAATAACAAAAAACATACCTGTCATAATGGCACTTGCTGATTGCATCAATACAAGAAAAAACATTAATGAATATGAACCAAAATTATTCATTCGATACCATGCAAAACCAATCAAAAACATTAAAACAATTTGAAAGAAAGCAAATAATAGATTGGCAATAAAATGTGAAAAAAACATTAATGAATGTTTAGCACCGGCAACAATAGCACGATCAAAAAATCCATCATTACGTTCCATAATTAATAATTGTGATGTAATTGTAACTAATGCCAAATAAAGAAAACCAATTATATAACCGGGTAATAAGAAATCAGCATGTATAATATTATCAGCATAAACAACTTCTTTAACAACCACTGGTGATGCCATTGCTATTTGACCTTCATCACGAAATACCTGATTATATAATTCCCATGTTCCGAATTTAAATAGATCCAATAATGGTTGTGCAATAATTGCATTTGCATTATCAGCAAACAATTTAATCGTACTAGCATCCAATGTTCGATTACTGATTGTCATTGGATCTGCTTCATTATCTTCAACATAATCTTCAACACTATCATCAACGGAATCATCATGGCTATTTGAATCAGCATTAACTGCGGCCAGCGCACGTTTTATCAAAGCTGATGAAAAATTTGAATGAAACCATATGGCAGCCGTTGCATGACCATTCCGTACTTGATCAACAGCCTCATCAAGTGAATCAAATTGAATATAATTAACATGATAAAGGCTAAAATTTTTTACACGATTCTGAAATTCTTGGCTATATTGACGAGTAACATCTTCATTAAAAACGGCCGTATTTAAACGAATCATATCCACTTTGAATATGATACACATCAATAATGTACAGAATGTTGGTGAAAATACCATAACGCTAATAAATTTGGATTGAAAAAATTGATAAATATTACGCCGTATAAGAATAAACAATAACCATAATAATGATTTGGTATTCAATTTAACATTCAATTGATTTTCATCGATTGTCGATGATTTACGACGCATATATGAATTCGGTACGACTAGAAGATGATTATTAATAGCATTAGCAATACTATTACGTTTATATGGTAAAAATATTGATAATTTTCGTTGTGTATTTTCCACTTCATTTTGTATCTCATTTTCGGTTGGTTTTTGTGTACAAATATGTATGAATATTGTTTCCAGATTAGTTTCATTATATTTACTATACAATGATTTTGGCATTCCTTCTTCAATCATTCGGCCACCACGCATCATACCAATACGATCAGCAAGCGATGCTTCTTGTATATAATGTGTTACAATAATTACAGTTAAACCATTATCAGCATTTTTACGAAGAAATGTCCAAATTTGATTACCCAATACTGGATCAGTACCAACAGTTGGTTCATCAAGAAATACTAATTTTGGTGAATGAAGAAAAACAAGTGCCAATGATAAGGCTTTTTGTTGACCACCGGATAATGTTGAAACAACTTGTTCATCTTCAGGAAGGCAGAAAATTTTTTTCAAATTATCCCGTCTATTTAATACGAAAAAAAAACAATTCAAAAATAAGAAAAATGATGAAATTTTAGGAGAAAAACAAAAAAAAACAATACTTACACTTCAAGATATTTTGTTTCACTAAGCTGATAAAGGCTAGCAAAATAATCAAATGTTTCACGAATAGTTAATTCGGGTGATAATGCTTGGCTTTGTGGCATATAACCAATAACACGATTATAATGGCCAGGTTTATTATGACCAAATATTTCAATTGTACCATGATTTAATTTTACACGACCTAACATTAAACGTAATAATGTTGTTTTACCTGATCCACTTGGTCCTAACAATGCATATATACAACGTTTTGGTACGGTCATATGAATATCTTGTAATACATTTGATTTATGATATTTAAATGATACATTTTTAACTTCAATAGCAATGTCACGTTTATCCATGATGAATTTTATCAATTTTTCTTTCGAATCCTATCGTTGAAAACACAAAACAAAAATAAATTTAATTGAAAAATAACAATAGAAAATCACATGATAAAATACAAAGAATAATCAATGGTCAATTTGATGTGAAAACAAATTCAAATCAAGAAACAGTGATAACAACATTGATTTAAAAAAATCAAATGAAAACAAAAATTTGAAATATCAATCATTGTAATGACATTGCTGATATATTCACTAAAAGAATTGATCAATGAAACGAAAAGAAAAACAGAAATAAAACCTGAAGATGATATTGAAAACGAAAACATTATTTTTTTTCAATGTAAACGAATAATACAGGTAAGGGTAGAAACAGGTAGCAAACGAGCAAAAAAAAATCGATCAGCCTTGTATATTCAATTTGAATGAAAAATGAAAAAATTTTTGATAATGTGATTAATCATCAAGACAACATAAGAATATCTTTATGTTGTTGTTGTTGTTGTCGGATTATTGCACAAAATCAAACAGGAAAATAAAGGGGTCACAAGATTGTTTCATTGTAAATACCAACAACAACAACAGAAATGAAAAGAATCGCTTCATTTATTTAAATTCTAATTACTATATTTATATCTTTTCAAAGGAAAAATTGATTATTAATTAATTAAATTTCAAGTTCAAGATGACAACAACAACAACAACAACCAACAGACAAACAAACAAACGACAATGATAATGATTAAGAGATAGAAATATTTTCTAATAGCCTGGAACCATGAATTTGTCTTTGAATATTATCATTCATTCATTCATTCATTCATATTGAGAATGAAATTCAATCCAACAAAGTGAATGAAGTAAGACATCATGCATATGAAAATATTCAAAGACAATAATGTTGTTGTTGTTGTTGTTAATGTTGATGATATTCATCCAAGGTTTTGGATAAGCATCGCCATCAAATTATTTATTAAGGGAAACAAAAAGAGAAAGAGAGATTTTATATTGCAATCTTGCAATCTTACCAATCAATAATGATAATTTTTCATTTTTTTGTTTTGTTTTTGTTTTTGAAAAAAAATGAAAAATTATTAATAAAACAGCCGGAATGACAGGAATGAAAGATATATTTGGAAGAATTGTGGAAAAAAATGAAATTAATTAAAACGAGGAAAGAAAAAAAGACAAAGTAGTTTATTTATAATCCAGATATTCTCAGGATTTAAAAAAAAATGGGAATCAATTTTGGACAGCAGGATATGTTTTCATTAAAATCTAAAACAAAAACATATCATTGATTTCAATCAATCAGAAAGAGGAAATTGTCGATAAATCAAAATTCATTTTTTGTTTGATCAAATATTAATTTGATTTCGAAATGAAATTGAATTTTCGTCGAAGGTTATCGACACCAAAAAAAACATATGAAGGTTTCGATTAAAAATATTGAGATACCTTTTTTTCAATATTAATCATCATCATCATTTACAAAACGTCATAAATATGAAGGGTTTTGAAAAAAAAACAGGAAAGATCATCAGTTCATCATCGACGATCAGATCATGATGACGATATAATAAAAACCGGAAATATTTTGTTTTTTAGCACTTAATTAACAAATGATGACGACGACGAGAGGGTTAAAAAATTTTCCTAAAAATTGCAAAGCCAAAAACGAATTTGACAATAAAAAAGAGAAATTATTAATTTAAACAAAAGAAAAAATGTTTTATTTCGCAAGCAAATAATATTCATCATGAAACACACACGTGCCTGATGATGGTGAATACAATAACCGGATGAATCGATAATAAAAATTTTTCAATTTTTCTTTATTGATTTTGGTGATGATGATATGCTATTTATGACATTTGTCGCCATAAAAGTTATCATCATTTTTTTTTTGTAATCAAATATTGATAACTAATGATTTTGAACCTAAACAAATTCAAAAGATGAATAATAATTTTATGATCTTGGCTATGAAAATTTTCATTGTTTTAATCTTTTGTCTATACCTGATCTAAACATTCAATACATTATATAATTATGATTTGAAAACTAACAAAAGAGAAATCAACAAGTTTCCGATAATTTCTTTATGAACATTTTTTTCTGATTATCATTTTTTTTTTGCTGTTGTCTATTCCTTGAAGATTATTGACAACCTGCAAAAAAATGGCCATTAAAAAAAGACTCTTGAGTGGGTGACCACCATTCAATGATTTTTTTTCCTTTCTCTTGCCAAAAAAAAAATTGTCAATTGTTTAAACATTGCAATCATTCATTCTTTACAATAATTATCATCAATAATGGCCATCGAATAAGTGTTGAAAAAAAAATTTAATTGAATGTAAAATGTATTTTTTGGATGGGGGGATAATGGTTGAACAAATTGATTGGTATTTCTCTTTCAATAAAACAATGTTTCAGAAGGAATTTACAGGAAAAAAAGCAACAACTTACAATAAATCCTGGTGAAAAAACGAAAGAAAAAACTGATTCAAAATGAAAAACACACTCAAACATAAAAATGATGGAAATTTTTCTGGAAAAACAAATTTTTTTTCACTGATTTCTTTTTTTAAAAAAATAACGTAACTATTCAGCCATTATCACTTAGATAAATCATTTGATTGATTGAATTATTGAGAATTTGTACTTTTTTTTCAAGATTGAAATGATTGTTTGTTTGTATATGATGATGATGATGATGAGGTATGTCAATCGAAAACAAAAAATCAATCAAATTTGGTTGGAATTTCAAAAACAACAAAAAACTCATGAAGATATTATCGAAGATCACGATAATAGAAGAAAAAAAAAGTAACAAGTTAAAAAAAATTGAAATATTCGCAAAATAATCAATTAAATAATGATGAAAATGATATTTTCTTTTCTTTCAATTTCAAATTTTGAGTTTCAATCAATCACATAAATCCATTATCATGGTCAATGTCAAGAATATTTTTTTTGTATGGAAAATTTACGAACAAATCTTGATTAAAGTCAAAACTTGAATGTGTTATTGAAAAAAAATATTTGAACAGTTTTTCACATCAACATCATCACTGGTAATGATTGAGATGAATGATGATGATGATAATAATTTTCTGTAAAGAATTTATGTTAAAAAGAAATTCGATCGATTCATATTAAAAAAAACAAGTTATTTTTAGCTTGTTTTTATCTTTCATTGATGCGTCTATCTGGTTGCTACAAGTCCGAAACCTTGAAAATTATCATCGTCGTCCAAAAAAAAGAAAAGAAATAAATCACTCTCCCTCTCTCTCTCACTTTCTCTCTCAAAGGTAGGGTTGTAATTAATGATTTTTATTTATTTAGATTTTGTTGTTCGGATATAAATTTCATAATAATTACATTTTGAACAAAAAATAAAGATAAACAAACAAATAAATAAAACAGGTATTCTTTTTTGAAAATAAATAAATAAGTAAACAAGTTTCTTAAAAATATTTGAAATACCTTGAATTTTTGGATGATGTTCCTTCGTAAAAAAACCAAAAACAACAGTACCTTTGAGTAATAACGATGATTATGGATTTGATCAAAATTTTGTTGTTGTTGTTGTTTCAATATGAATCATAATGTGTTTGATGTGCTATTTGAGATATTTATATTCGCGCTGGTTTGTAAAGTACATGGGTACATAACTTTATCAAACAACCAACAAATGCAAACAATATCAATGATGATGACGACAATATTTCATTTATTTAAATAATAATAATAAAAAAATCAAAGAATTTTCTCATTCAAATAACGAATCCATTTGTTTTAACAAGCAGAAGAAAAAAATACTGTTTTTCTTTTCATTATGGTAAAGGATTGGCGTATTATTCATTTCATTTCATCATCATCATTATTAACAAACAAACAAATGAAATATGTAAATAAAACAAAATCTGATTGAACTTTTCTTTTTTTTTTGAATAATGATTATCAATTGAAATCAATGTGAGCAATAAAAAACAAATGAAATGTTATTGCATAAACAAAAAATGTACAAAAAAAATATGAAAATCACTGCAAAAAAAACAACACCGGATGATTGATGAATGAATGGATCGATATAATGAAAATGATGATTATTAATGAAGAAATTTTTTGGATTTTAATTAGGATTTGTTTTTTGTATTTTTTTGGGGTAAACAAGCTGACCATCATTGTCAAGTTTTGTTGAATTGTTGATTAGTTACAAGTTTCAAAAACGTTGTGAATTGAATTTATTTTTAGCAAAGCTGAATTTCAAATTTTTTTCTTCTCTTGTTTATCAAATGAACAGAAAAAATGAATTTCAGAATCAAACATTTGAACAACAAGGGTTGAAAATTTGAGAATTTCTCGTTTGAAAAGGTTATTTTCGCTTCTTTGATTAATTTCAATTACAAATTTGTTTTTAAAATGATGATTTTGATGAAATTATTATTAGTTTTCAATTGAAGTGTTGAAAATGACAAATATACAAAAACGGAAATATCATTTCGTTGACATTGAACACATTGATCGAGGTGGTGAATGAGTGAGTGAGTGAGAAAAACAGATGGAGAGATATTTAAAATCAAATTAAATTTTGGAAAAGAATTGAAAAAAATTTTTTAATTCAATTAAAAAAATTGAAATTCTTGAAGAAAAAAAAAACGATGAAAACAATGGGTTTGAGTGTGTGAGAACAAAATGAAAATCAATGGGTGCTGTAAATGATGAACATTCGAGGATGATAATGATAAACACTTTGCATTCATCCACAATTACTTTTTTCGTTTTGTTTTGTTTTGGTCACACTTGTTGAACATATTCTTCATTCTTTAAATCATTCATTCATGTATTTGATATTGATCATCGATAAAGTAAAGTTTGTTCCATCGATTATTTATTACAATAGAGATAATAATCATTGACCGTGACAATCATCAATTTAACGAGTTTGTCGAGAAATAAATAAAAAAGCATCTTCAACTAATAACAACAGCAACAACAACAAAATATTGTGATCCAACCAAAAGAAGAACAAAAGAAGATGATGAAAATCACACAAACATCTCAACAAGAAAATATTTGAAAATTTCTCACTTGATAAAAAAAACCGAGGTAAAAAACAAGATGAATGAGAAATAAAAAAGAAAGAGAGAAATAAATAAATAAATTTCCGAGGTCTAAAAAAATATTAGTGGATCATTTCATTCATTCATTTGTTTGAAACAAAAAACAAATGATGCTTATCATGAAAGTGATAGTTTGTTGTTTGCGTGGGACAATATTGTATTTTAGAAAGTTTTTTTTTTGTTGAATGATGATTACCTTAGATGAAGAACTAGTGGCAATGTCGTTTCTCTTTACATTTTTATTTTCTTTTCTTTTCTTTTCGATTATTCATTTGGTTTCTCTTGAGTTTGATTAAATTGTACATTCTTTAAAGTATATTCCATAGGAATACCTTTTATTTACTGATTGATTGATTGGTTGATTGATTGAATTTGATGAATTTTAGTGCATTTTATTCAAGCCTTAAGGCTGAAAAAAAATGTATGAACAAAGAAAAGGAAATCATTTGTTTTCATACAAATCATTTGATGTTTCTCAAAAATTTTCTTGGTTTTTGTTTTGTCTGGTTAATAATAATTACGATGATGATAATAATTATGTTAATTAACCCCACAATAATAATTATCATTTTTTGATCAATAACCACAATTGATAATTATGGTTAATGGTAATTGAAGTAAAAAAATTTTACCTTTTTTCAAGACAAAACATCAACCAATAATACATCTACCCAACAAAAAAAATACTAATCAAATACCAAAAGAAACATTGAAATTCAATTGATTCCAAATTGATTGGAATAAGAAACCAAATTTCAATAATTTTTTTTGCCACAATAGAGAAAAAAAGAAAAGGTATTTTTTGTTTTGTGAAAAGAAAAAACTTGTTAATGTCGAAGTTATCAATGATCAAAATCCAGCAAGAAAAACAATCAGGAAGAATACCATTTGATATCATCTTGATTATGATCCAGGAACACAACATATAATAATAATTATCAACAAATGGCCTTTGTGGGCTAATAAAAAAAATGTAAATAATTTCTTTTCGTGGATGTTTTTTTTTGTTGGAAAAGAAAAAAATCTTTCCGGAAATTATTTGGAAAACAAAACAAAAAAGATGGATAATATGGAAAATCTTTTTCATTTGTTTCAGAACAAAGAAAAATTATCTACTTTTTAAGTGGAAATTATGATTATCCAGCTCTGTAATTATGGTAAATCATTTTTTTTTTAATTTTCCAAAAAAATTTTTGAAACATTTTTTTTGAAACAGGTATGGCCATCTAGTGTTGAATAATTTTGAGAAAATTTTTAATTTTATTTTTTTAATAATTCAATTAATAAATGTGTGTTATAAAATTTTGAGTATTTAAAGTGAAAATTTTATAATTTATAAAATTTGTTCCCTATTGACAACGATCTTTGATATCGACAAATGGACAAAAAAGACCAACGTAAAAAAGATGGACCACGAACAAAACCATCACCAAAAACACCGTTGATCAAAAATCAAAAATTACGATCAAAATCATCTTCCAATTTACATGCAAATGAAAAAAAACGATCATCCAAAAGTAGTGACCTTCACATTAAACAGAAAACACCAGCAAGTGCACCTACGAAAAAAAGTAATAGTCGATCGGAATCACCCAAATTAACCGAATCAATGAAAGAAATGACCAAAGTATTACAACATTGCCCACTAAGTAATTCGGAAGAAATGAAACGATTACGTTCGATTGAAAAATTAGCCAATAGAACTAGTTCATCATCGTTACGTAATAAAGAACAACGAACAGCATCAAATAGTAAACAACCAGCACAACCACGTAAACCATCAAGTGATCAAAATATTAATCTTTGTGAACGTGAAGAATCGACAGCTTGTCAATTAAGCCGTTCAAAAATGGAATTAATACGTAAAATGGATGGATTTCAACCAAAAACAACAAGTAATACAAATAATCGAAAACGAGTTCGTTTACCTAAAAATGAACAACATTTATTAAATCCTGGACCGGGCATTTTGGAACGTGCACAAAAAGCCGAACATACATTATTTGGTCTAAAAGTAGTACGAGAAACAATGACAAAAATTTTAACACAAAGTAAACAGGAACAAATACGTAAAAATCCTCGAACATTGGAAAAATATCGTATTCTATTATCTGAACCATTCAATCAGATGTCAATCATATTGGATCATTTAGGATTGACTGGTGCTTTTGGTATCACTAAAGAACATTTAGAATTGTTTCAAAAATATCCAGTTCGTTGTTTTATTAATGTTACCTATGAATTACCATTATTTCAACCGACTGAATGTGAATCATTTCGTGTACCAGTTGCCGATGATAAAGATGAAGATCTTAGTCGCTATTTTGATGATGTTACGGATAAAATTGAACAAATTCATCATCGAAATCAAGCAACTATTGTACATTGTATGGCCGGTGTATCACGATCAGCATCATTTGTAATAGCATATCTGATACGTTATCAACGAATGTCAATGAAAGAAGCATTTGAACATGCAAAACGAGCACGTTCCTGTATTAATCCAAATATTTCATTTCTTGGACAATTAGTTGAATTTGAAAGAAAATGTCGTGATCATAATAATAATAATTATCGTAGTAAATCGATGACAAAAATGGTTAAACATTCAATGAATGGTATTGATAAAGAATTGCCCGATTTTATTGTCGAGAGCTATCTAGATGAATACTTACATGAATTTGAATTAGATTGAAAAAAATTAACAATAATAATTCATTCACACACACACAATACATCAATGAGTCATTTTAATAAAAATTGTTCATAATTATTTTATTTAATTATAATTTGTTTAGTTTAGTTTAGTTTTAGCTTTATTTTGTTGATTTTTTGTTTGTTCGAATTGTTCGATTTGATTTCAAATAATTAAGACAATTAATCGATGGACATTCAAATATAATGGTAAAAATATAACCAGCCATATATGAAAATACAATAATTGATGCAAACAACATATTGATAGCATTAGTACGATAATTAATAAGATTACGACGAGATTTTATACAAAACATTAGTACCAATTCATGTGTTAGATATACTGAATATGATAAACGTGATAATGGACGAAATAATGGCCATGATAGAAAACGACCAATGAATATTCCATTATTCGTAACACAAAGCCATACTATTAATGTCAAAACAATAGCCCATATAATACGACTTAATGGAAATAAAATAGCAGACCATAATGGATTTATAGGTAGATGACCATCAAACCAAGGTATAGTATAAAAAATACAGAATAGATATCCCAAAAAAACTAGTAACCAGAAAAGATATTTGTTGCTTGTTTTCATTACCATTGGTGATGAACATTTCTGCAGATAAGCACCAGCAATCAGACCAATAAAAAATACAATAACATGAATCCAAGGTTTGAAGAAAAAAACTGTCAAATAACCCATTTCATAATTAGGATGAATGAAATCACTGTTTTTTAAAAAAGACATATGAAAAATTGAATTATATAAAACACTGAAAACTATCAAACAAAATATTACTTGAAAATAGGAAGAATGAATCCAGGCGAAAGTTTTTGAATGTAAATTATAATGGATGAAATTAGAAAGAAAATTATAATGAAAACATTAATGATAAATATTCCTTTACGTGAATTTCGTAATAATAATCGTATCAATAAAGCAGACATTATATGTAATTGCATATCGGCAGCTAAAAACCAGGTATGAAGAGCACACTTTTTCCATAATGAAAATTGTTGATAAATTTTATTTTTAAAAAAATTTTATAACAAAAACTTACTATTTCATTTGGATTTAATAAATTTTGAATGTAAAATAGATTATGCCACCAAGTTGTTGAACATTTATTAATAATACTTTCGGAATGTATTGAAAATATTGGACCATCCGATAGAAAAGGTATAAGACTGATCAACAGCATATAAACTATAATTTGTGGTGTTAATCGTAGATAACGCATCAATATGAATGAAATATAATTAAATTTTTTATAATCTCCTTTAGTTTTTTTGTATGTAGAAAATGATGCTAACAAGCCACTTATATAGAAAAAAGTTTCAGTTGAATAATGACCATTAAATTTTGGTTGTAATATTAACGATGTATATTCATCAGTCAATGCAAATGATTGACGAAAAAAATTCCATGGATTCCATTTGATTGCATGACTTGTAACAATCCATACCATCGATATGAAACGAATTCCATGTATACAGGATAATTCATTTTGTTTTGAAGATTTTGATAAGTTGATTGAATTTTTAATTGGTGAAAACCATTTCATTATTGTTTTGAACATTGAATCATTTTCATTTTGAATAAAATTTTCATAGATTATGGAAATTATATTTATGCTCAACATAATAACGATGACAATTCTAAGTGAATGTGTTGTTGATGAAATTGATATTTGCTAAAAAAAAATCTAAATTTAAATCTGTACTTACAATGCTATGAGTTGAACAAAATTTAGTTTCCAATTTTGATCATTCTCATTGATCTTACATGGCAATGAATTCAATTGAAAACCAAATTCATTGATACCAGTTGTATTGAATGCATATTGAATATCTTTAAGTGAACAAGATTCAGGAACACAGATTCCCATCCAAAGATGAATATAATAAAAAAGTGATGATTTATCAGCCAAATGATTGAAAATTGTTCCGTTCAGTTTTGAATGATTTTTCAGAACAGGTAAACGTTTTTTTAGATGAAAAGGAAAAGGTACCGGTTCGGGCATTGCTATAGACATATCCAGAATGCAATATTTGGATACAATATCGCTTGAATCGATCGACATACATTGATCAAAATCACCAAAATCAGTGAATGTACCGATCATCATACCAGAAGGAATTGAACGAGCCCAAGAATCAAACAATTTATATGACCATGTTTTTCGTTCATAGAGAGCATCGATTGCTCGGTAGATATCCATTCGACATTCATTACTCAGATGATTATCATGGATAAGATTTAGGTTCAAATATCTTGGTAGAATAGCTTTGGCTAATGTATCGTTTGATATATTCAACAATGGTTGCCATGGATAATCGATAGCCACGATAAAATCTAAGCAAAATAAACTACAAAGAAAAAAGAATAATATTTCAATAGACATCGTTTTATAACAACCATACAAATCATTACTCTGTATGCGAATAAATGAAAATTGTTGTAATCCTCAGACTATTTTCGTTTGAAGTGACATTTTCTTGTACGATTTTTTTTGCAACATTTTAGAAATTTATTTGACATCTACATTCAATCAATGATCACCAAAACAACAAGGAAAAAAAAGGAAATTTATAAATGTGATATTTTTTTTGTCGATTGATTTATTTAATGATAAAACAAATAATTCTGAGTGCAGTTTATAAACATTTAGATATAAAATTTTCACACTAAAATTTTGATTTGTTAAACTAATTCTTGGTGACATTTATTTTTTAATAAGAAAAATATTGTTCGATTTAAATTTTTGATTCTATTGGATTAATTGTTATTCTGATTGATTTTAATGTCTATACTTTTGATTCCATACGTTGATCATCAGGACATTTGCTTTTGTTGTTGTTGAATTTTGTATTTTTCATATCAGATCGATGATTCCGGATATAATCAATAATATTTGTAAATGGACATTCACATATAATGGTAAAAATAAATCCTACTATGTATGAGAATATAATCATTGATACCATCAAAGATAGATCGTCAATTTCACGATCACTCATAAGATTACGTCGAGAATGTAGACAAATAAATAAAATTGCTGGATGAGTTAAATATACGGAATATGTTATACGTGATAATGGACGAAACAATGACCATGATAGAAAACGACCAATGAATATTCCATTATTCGTAACACAAAGCCATACGATTAATGTCAATACAAGTGCCCATATAATACGACTTAATGGTAATAAAATAGCTGATAATAATGGATTTATAGGCAAACGACCATTTAGCCAAGGTGCAGTGTAATAAATACAGAATAGATAACCAAAAACAACTAATGACCAATAGAAAAATTTAACATTTGTTTTAATTGTTTTCGGTGACCATTTTGGTAGATGAACACCCGTTATAATACCAGTGAAAAATATGATTATATGAATCCATGGTTTTAAGAAAAAAAGTAATAATTCACCACTTTTTTCGTTAGGCAGTACAAAATAACTGTGATCCAAATTGGAAAAATAAAAATAAATGAAATATTTGATTGAATAAATTTATCTTACCCTGAATAGGAAAGCATAAGTCCAGGTGGAAATTTCTTAATATAAACTATAGCCGCTGAGACAAAGATGAATACAATGATAAAAAATTTAGTAGCCATCATACCGATACGATAATTTCGTAATAATAATAAAATGAATATGCCGGATATAATATGCAATTGCATATCAGCAGCCAAAAACCATGTATGTCCAGAACACTTTTTTTTGTAATAAATGTTAAAAAGTTAAAATGTAAAAATAATTTACTTACAATATCAAATAAATTAAACCAATTTTGAATGTAAAATAGATTATACCACCAAGTTTTTGAACATTGATAAGTAATTCTTTTCGAATATAATGACCATGATGGACCATTAGATAATACAGATGTAAAACTATCCAATAACATATACATTATTAATTGTGGTGTTAAACGTAAATAACGCATTAATATGAATGGAATATATTGAAATTTTCGATAATCTCCTTTTGTATGTTTAAATGTAACAATAGATGTTAATAGACCACTTAAATAGAAAAATGTTTGAGTAGAATAAAAACCATTTAATAATGGTTGAAATTGTAATCCAGTTATTTTAAACGGTATTTCAAATGAACGACGATGAAGATTTCGAGGTGACAAAACCATTACATGACCAATAATAATCCATACCATTGATATGAAACGAATTCCATGTAAACAAGATAATTCACCTTGTTTCAATGATTTTGTTGAGATTATTTTGTTAGTATTTTGAATTGGTGAAAACCATTTCATTATTGTTTTTATCAATGATGAATCATTTTCATTTTGTATAAAATTTTCATAGATAGCAGATATTACATTCATGCTAAGCAAAGAACCAAAGACAATTCTGTATTGATATTTAAAATCAATATTCAAAATTAAACCAGATCGATTATTATTATACTTACAACGATATAATTTGTAGAATATTTAATTTCCATTTTTTACCACCATTATTACATGATGATGAATGCAATCGAAAACCATATTGAGTGATACCAGTTGTATTGAATGAATATTGAATATCTTTTTGTGAACAAGATTCAGGCAAACAGATTCCCATCCAAAGATGAACGTAATAAAAAAGTGATGATTTATCGGCCATATGATTGAAAATTGTTCCATTCAATTTAGTTTCGTTGTCATTTAGAACTTGAACATGCGTTTTCAAATGTAAAGGTACTGGTTTGGGCATTGCTATTGACAAATCCATAATACAATATTTGGATATGATATGGCTGGGATTGATCGAAATACATTGATCAAAATCACCTAAATCGGCAAATGTACCGACCATCATACCAGAAGGAATGGAACGAGCCCAGGAATCAAACAATTTATATGACCATGTTTTTCGCTCATAAAGAGCATTGATCGCTCGATGAATATCCATTCGACATTTACTACTTAGATGATAATCATTGATAAGATTTAGATTCAAATATCGTGGCAGAATAGCTTTGGCTAATGTATTGTTTGATATTTTCAACAATGGCTGCCATGGATAATCGATAGCTGCAATCAGATCAAAACAAAACAAACAACCAAGAAAAACGAATAAAATTTTACCAGACATTATTCTACAACAACCATACAAATCATTAGTCTGTATGTGAATAAATGAAAATTTTGTAAAATCTCCTCTGTTCTTATTTGAATCGACGTTTTTCTTGTGATATAAGAAATTCATTCCAACATCAAACGATCAAAAATAAAAGGAAACAAAAACTTGAATTTACTCTCTATGAATGTGATTGATTTATTCCTGATAGACAAATTTCAAAGTGATTTTTTTCGGGGAAAAAAATTCACTTAACACAAACATACATCATTGATCAAAATTTTATTAGAAATTTTTTAAAAATATTACAAATTTTAATTGATTTATGTGATCACACTTTTGATTCTGAATTCAATATTAGTTGTATTTGTCGTTCATTTACATCGTATTCTGGTATGTTTAATTTTTTTTCATCTGTTTCATCATTATCATTATTATTATTGACTTTTGTTTCTTCCGAATTTAATGGCTGATTAATTAGCCAATAATTTTTAAGATAATCAAGAAAATGTATGAGTGGACTTTCAACCAATACAGTAAAAATAAATCCAAACAAATATGAAATAACAATTGATGATGTTAACAATGATAATATGGCCGTCATACGCATATCAATAAGATTACGTCTTGATCCAAGAGCAACATAGAATACAAGAACATGTGTTAGATAAACCGAATAGGTCATACGTGATAATGGACGAAATACTTTCCATGAAAGAATATTGCCAATAAATAAACCATTATTAGTGATACAAAGCCATATGATTAATGTTAATACTAATGCCCATATTGTACGATTCAATGGATAAAGAATAGCCGACCAAAATGGATCATATGGACGACCATATAGCCATGGTGCTGTACTATAAATGCAGAATAGATAACCGGAAAATGCTAATAACCAGCACAATAATTTGCTACTTGTTTTCATCGATACCATTCGATTCCAATCTGAACGTTCATGTAGTTTGGCACCGAAAATAAAACCAATAAAAAATACATTTGCATGATTCCATGGTTGATAGAAAAATTTTAGAAATTCACTTGGCCGACCAAATTCATCAAGAAAATCACTTTTCATGAAAAAAATATGAAAAAATTTTATAAATACATTCAACAGGTATTTGCAAAAAAGACAATAATACTTACTTTTTAATTGTGACTATACCACCGGGTGGATGTTTTTGAATGAAAACTGTTAACCCACTGATACAAATACAGACTAGTATGAGACATTTAGTGACGAGCATACCTCGTTTTGGATATCTTAATAACATTCCAATTAAAATGACTGACATATAATGTAATTGCATATCAGCAGCCAAATACCATGTATGAAGAGCACACTTTTTAAACAAAATTATTCAAAAAAATTTCATTGATAATTGTAATAATTTAACTTACAATATTTTGAACATCGATCACATTCTGTAGATAAAGAATATTATGCCACCAAGTTAACGAACATTTATCCATAACATTATTCATATAAGTTGACCATAATGGACCATCATATAACGGTGGTAAAAGACTTAATAATAACATAAATGCTATTAATTGCGGTGTTAGACGAAGATAACGTAAAAATGTATATGGAATGTAACGAAATTTTCTATAATCATTTTGTGTATATTTAAATGTAACATATGATGTTAATAGACCACTAAGATAGAAAAATGTATCCACTGAATAATGTGCTTTAAACAATGGTTGATGTCCAAGCGATGATAAACGTGATTGCATCAAAAAAGATTGTCGAAATAAATTCATTGGATTCCATTCAAGCGTATGGCCAATAATAATCCATACAAGTGTTAAGAATCGAATTCCATGTAAACAGGCTAGATCATCATGTTTGGATGTTTTCACTGAAATTAGTTTAGCTGCATTTTGAATTGGTGAAAACCAAAGTAATATTGTTTCAGTAATTGAATAACTTTTCTTCATTACTAATCGATCATAAATGGCTGCCCATATTGTAATGGCAAACAGTATGGTCAAGATTATTCTGAATATTTTGGGGATAAAATAAATTAATTTCGAAGTAAAAATGAGTAATATTCACATACAAAGCTGCTGTTTGAGGTAAATTAGGTATCCATTTTTCATTCGATTTAATCGTACATGTTGATGAATGAAAAGTAAGACCAGTTTCTTGTATGCCTTTATTTTCAATAAAATGATGAATATCTGTATCGGAACAGGAATAAGGTATACAAATTCCCATACGTATAAAAATATAATAAAATAATGGTGACAAATGAGAAAGATCATAAAAAATTGTTCCATTTGAAACTAAATCTGGACGATTTGTATTATTTGTAGTCGGTATAACGGGAAATTTTTTAACAATATTATGATGATCAGGCATTGGATTTGGCATTGGTAATGATAAATCAACAAAACAATATTTTGATATAATATCTGTATGATCAATTGATAAACATTGATCATAATCACCATAATCAGTAAATGTTCCAATCATTAAACCGGATGGTAATGATTGTGCCCATGAATTGAATAATTTAAATGACCATGTTTTTCGTTGATTAAATGCTAATAATGAACGATGAATATCCATACGACATTGTTGACTTATATTATGATTATCAATAATATCATGATTAAAATCAATATAATGAGGAAGAATAGCTTTGGCAAATACATTATCAGAAATATTCAATAATGGTTGCCATAAATATTCATCATTACATGAATAATAATGGCAAGAATTTAGAATAAAAAACACAAAAATGGCCAAAAAATTTAATTGTGCCATATTGAAGAGAAAATAAATCAACAATAAATTCAAATGATAATCACCATCAATATATTATCGTTAAAATGATTCACTAATAATTTTTCAAACAAACAAACAAAAAAAATTGATCTAAACAACAAGTGAAAAACTTTTTGATATCGATAAAGATCGTTGACGTTTCGACACAATATAATATGATGGCCAAGAAAACAAGAAGATATCGGTTTTTTTCTTTTGTTAGCTCTTGTCAAGTTGATCGTAGCCACTACAAGATGGTCAAATCATTGATTGAATGTATGCCAACAATGTTTGTATGTATTGTCGTTGCGGTTGTTGTTTTTGAATTCATGGAAATCAAATCTTTGTACTGATTTCATTCATGAAAAAAAAAGAAAAAGAAAATAAAGGATTCTGAGATCGTCTGTGTCTCTTTTTTTTCAGTAGTTTTATTTGTTTTTATTTTTCAAATTGGATAGAGTTTGAAGAGGATTGTCAATGTTTTATTTTGTTAACAGCCAGAAATGACAATGACGACCACCAATGGCCAAACGATCAATCAATCCATCGATCACTTGTATTTTTTTCTATTTTATTTATATTAGAACGATCAGCAGTCATATATAGTGTTGATGATTCCAAACATCATTTGCATGCAATCAAATGTTTGATTTGATTTGATATTTACTTATTGTTTTAATGTATTCCGGGGTTTTATTTTTTTTTCAACACTGTCTAAATATTTATTTCCAAAAATGACCAAAAATGAATCTGAAATTAATTTCATTTCAAATTAAAGAATAGGTATTTTATTGTTTATTATTGAATAATTAAAATTTGTAATCAGAATTTACATTCGGTAAAGGTGTGAACATAAACATAAACATTGAGAAGGTGGTCAACAAAATGCCCACTGTTTTGTTTTCAATGTAAATGATTTTTTCGCCTTAAAATTCATATTTTTTGTTTTTGAAAAATTTTAATTGTTCGTTTCAAATGGTTAATGTTGCTGTTGTTTGAATAAGTGAACAATTGACATTGACAATACAGAAAAAAAATCATGTTTTTCTATTCTGTTGTTTCCTTTTACATAATTTCACTTTCAATCAACTTTCAATCAACATACACTTGACGTGATAAATTCCGAAAAAAAAGGATAATAAATTTAGTTGAAATTGAAATTGAAGATTTATTTTACCTACAAAAATATCCATCCGTTTATAATAATAAACAAATGTCAAACTTTATCAATTGATTGATTGATTGATTGATTGGAAGTGGATTGTTAAAATTTAATTTAATTTTTGTTTTCTCACTCACTCTTTCTTTTGATTGTTTTTTTTTCGTTGTTGTTGCTAATGTGTGTAGGAGGTGTGAAAATTTTTTTGCTGAATCCTAACAACAGTTGGTTAATTTCTTTGTAAAAACTTTTTTTTTGTGCGTCATTCCAAAAGCAAAAAATTTATCCTCCCAAACCGATTAATACGATGATTGATTGATTGGGAAATTAAATTCAACGGATAAATAAGACATTAGACAAAAAGTCTTTGATATCAAAAAAAAAAGAATGATCCATTTTTTTCTAAAAGGAAATAAAGAATTAGTTTTGTATTCAACAAGTGTTTGATATCGGTGTGTGTGAAACCTTTTAAAGGTCAATTTGTTTTTGTTTTGAATATCAAACATTTGTGCGAAATAAAAGAACAATGTTCATCGGAAATATAGAAATTTATTTATATTTCATTCAAGTTCAATGGAACAAAAATATTGACAAAACAATGATGATGATGATGATGATGAGAAATTTAAAAACACGATTGATTTTCTTCCGCATTATCACTACAGGATATAAAGACATCATGTAGTGATTTGTTCTATATGTAATTTTTTATGTTTTGTTTTTGTTTTAAAGAAAATAAAAATTTAATTTAATTAAATTCAAGATTTTCATTATAAAATCTGAATTTATAAAAAAATATATTCATAAGTAATTTATTATTGTTTAATAATAACATCGATTTGATCATCATTTTCCAGGTCACATGCATCGATTTTTTGCATTAAATCCATTGTTTCAGAATCAAATTTTAGTAGAATTTTTTCAATTGGAATACAACGATCTTTAGCAAAAATTTCAGCTAAATATCGAACATTTTCGAATCGATTAACATGACATGTAAGACGTTTTTTACTTGAATCACGAAGATGTAATTCAATCATATTCGGATCATCATTGTTCGATTGTATGGCTGTTCCAGTTTCATCTGTTTGATCTTCTGAACGGACAATCATTTCAAATATATCAGCAAAAGATAGATTTATAGAGTTGGGTGTTGATTTTGCATCAACAATTTTATCGTTCAGATATAAAATTAATCGAGAAATGGAAACATCAAAACGTTCGGCTATTTGATCGAATATAGTTGAAAATGATTGTGTACGAAGCATCCTAAAGTATTCGATTCTATCTAATCGTTGAACACGAATTCGTATCCATTCATTTATAGCATTGTTGATTTCTTCATCATCTTGAATTATCGAAGAATTTACAATAGGTATTGGTGAGTTACTAGTATCAGATAATTCTACAATTTCTGGTGATGAGTGCTGGTCGGTTATGTTGTCATTATCCTTTGTTGTTGGAGGTTTTATTTGTGGTAAATTCAACGAATCGGGTGAATGATGTCTTTTTCTTGTTTTTTGATCAAGTTGATTATCATCATTAATACTTGGAATATTACCATCGTTAGTATGATTTCTAATATCATTAACGATTATTTTTGCTGATTGATCATCAGCAATTTTATCGTTATCATTTGCTAAAGATTTTTCTTTGACTTGATCAATTTTCTTTGGTGGATCATTTTCCAAAATTTTCTTCTGAAAATGATCATTATTTAAAAATTTACGGTACGAATTGAGAGAATCTGAAGAAATAAACCTTGAACAAACGGTATTACCATTAGCTGATGTTTTCATCATATTATCATCATCAGAATCATCTTCAGAATCGGATGCAAGTACAATCTTCTGCTTTGTTTTTCGCATTGGAATGTTAAAATCGGACTGAAAAATGTAAACAGATATTTAAAAAAAAAAATCGAACAATAATTTTATTTAGCATGAAAATAAAATGAAAAAATAAATATTTCGAAACACAAATGAACCATAAATAGAGGACGTATTCATAAAAATATTTGACTTTTTTTTTAATTTTTTGAGAATTTGATTTTTAAAAAATGCATACGACATACAGATAAAATACTTTTTTTGAAAAAGGACAAAAGTAAAGCAAAACGATCGAAATTTGTGATGAAATACAGAGAAAAAAATTTATAAATGAATCTTATTTTGTTCGTATAATTGTGTGTATAAATTATCAATCAATATATTAAATATATAAAACATGAAAAAAAAATCAAACAAGTTGGTTGGTTATGGCCATTGTTATCAATCATTCGTTGAGCTTGACATAATTTGCTGGAAATAGGCCCACTTTACCACGACATTGGCCACGCCACCATCCTTCATCGATCATTTCGATATTTGTAATCAATTCATCTGGATCAAATGTAATTTCATCCGATTCGGCTGCTTCATAATCGAATAAAGCAATCGCCGTTAGACCTAAATCTTCATTGTTTGTGGTTTCAACAGTTTTCAAGTCAGTTGTTAACTTTTGTTCGACTGGATTTGTTTCGACTACAGGCGTTTGTATTTCAATTGGTTGTTGATCACTAATTATTTCAGGTTCTGATTGAATAGGAGATGTTATCGTTTGAGAAGGGATTATTTTTGTCGGTGATTTTGGCATCGGTAATACCGAAATGCCTATCTTATGATGGCGACCTTTCTGTTGATGAAGTGGCCTTTCAACTTCATCAACATCATCATCTTGATCATTGGATTCTCGCGATTGATCACATGTTTCTTCATCTTCTCGGGCTTCACTTTCAAAAACAACACGATCTTTGTTTAGTTCTTTTTCATGAGCTTCTTGTTCGATTCGTTTTTGACGTTCACGTTGAATTTTTTCACGTGCAGCGGTTTCATCTTGTTTGGCTAGACTTTCAAATTTACTTGCCAATGATTTGGCATCACCTTTAATAATCTCTTTCTTGGGTTTGTTTGTATTGTTATTATCATCATTGTCACGATTTTCCCAACGTTTGGCACAGCTATCTTTTCGATCATTTTCCAAACCAAATCCTTTGCTTGCATCCAATTGAGATGAATGTTTTTCCACTGTTTCATGATGATCCCAACCGACAGCCGATTTATCCACACGATCTTTCTGTACGCCAAATTTTCCACCAAAGCCCACAGAATAATCTTTTTGTGATTCATGCTTGTCCACCTTTTCATGATGTTCCCAACCAAGGGCAGATTTATCTACGCGATCTTTCTGTACACCGAATTTGCCACCAAATCCTTTACTTCCGTCCAATTGGGAAGAATGTTTTTCCACCTTTTCATGATGTTCCCAGCCGACAGCAGATTTATCGACGCGATCTTTCTGTACACCAAATTTACCACCGAAACCAGTGGAATAATCTTTTTGTGATTGATGTTTGTCTACTTTTTCATGATAATCGAAACCGACAGCTGATTTATCAACACGATCAGTTTGTATACCAAATTTGCCACCAAATCCTATTTTACTATCCTTCTGAGATTGATGGGCGAATTTCTCTTTTGATTGTACATCTTCTTGACTTACTTCATTTCGAAGTTGATCTAAACTAATTAAATGACAATTTAATCCGAAATTAATTAAATGAACATAAAAATCATAAACTATCAAATAGCTTACTCGATAGCAGCGGCTGTACGTCCAGAACCTTCAATGGTTTTTGAACCCCAACGTTGATCCTCTTCAGTCACATCGTTCTAATGACAAAAAAAAATTAATGCATTCAAACAATGAAAACAAAAAAAACATCACCCATAATAATTAAAATTAAAACATATTCAGTACTTACAACAAAATCCGGGTCGGTATCCCAGTCATCGTTATCTACCGATTTTAATGCATCCGAATTAACGTATTGTGCACTTCTCCACATTTAGAATCGTTAATAAAATTTCAAAAATTTTAATTCGAACAATTAAATGACATAACCATTAAATAATAACAGCAATGATGACTCAAACAAAAGATTTCAACTCAAAAAAAAATCACTTTAGTCAGATGACAGATTTATTCTCTCATAATTGATTGACAATAGGTTTGGCATTAGTTTAATGATAATTGATATCGAGCAATAAAAGAAATTAGAGCGAATGGTGACGACGGCGGCGGCGGCAGATATTCCATGACAACATTGTTTTATCCATTCGATTCTATTTCTACATTGCACTCTATGCTTAGGTATCCGTAGCTCATTGGATCACATGGAATTTTTCTTTTTCATTAATTCGTGTTAAATTCAAAAAAAAAATGTTGATCAATTTTAGAGGAAAAGTTTTACGAATTAATAATTTTAGATTTTCATCATCATCATCATCAGCAGTTAGAAAGAGAAATACAAAACAAAATGACGAAATAAAATTGTTGACCAATGATGAAAATAATTTTCCCTTGTTAAAAATTTTACCTTTTGGTAATGTTCGTCGTGAACAAAGAATTTTGATCAAATCAGAAGTATGTTTTCATTGTTATTGAACGTTTGACTAAATGTTTATCTTCCAATAGGTAATAAGCCCACGTTATAAACGTTTAAAAGAAAATTGTAATTGGACTAATGTATGGCCAACAGCAAGAAATTTTCATCCAGCAACCATACCATTACCTATTCATATGAGTTATGTAGATGATAATAAAATTAGTGCACCAGTTGGAAAATTTAATAATCCTGAATTGTTAAAAATACCAAATTTTTTTCATCTAACACCAATCACTGTTAAACGACAATGTGAAGCAATCAAACGTTTTTGTACACGTTGGCCAAAAGCATTAAAAACTGATGATGATTGTCAACGTCATTTTCCTATCACTATTCGTACAAAAGATTTTGTTTTCAGTGGTCCATCTATTCGTTGGCCAGATTCAAGAATTGTTGAATTATCATTTAAACTTTCCGGTTTAAAATTAGATGAACATTCTCATGATAAAATGAAACGATTATTAGCACATCGTTATAATCCCGAAACAGATATAGTAACTATTCGTACCGATAGTTGTCCATTACGTAAACAAAATTATGATTATGCTCATTATCTACTAACAGCATCATATTTTGAATCATGGGTATGTTATATTTATATTCAAAATTTATCTATATCGATAATAATTATTTTTTTCCACAAAACAAAAAAATAGAAAATAGAAAAATGGGAAACAGAAAAAGAATATAGTGATTGGGAAAAATATTTTTGGAATCAAAGTAAATCACGTGAATCATTGTTAAATTATTTAAAAAAATGTCAACCCAAAATATCAATCGAACAATTGGAACAACAATCAAATGTTAAACAATATGCTGATGCTGTAATCAAATTATATGGTGATAATGATGGTATTGAAAAATCCGAAACAAATGAATCATTAAATCAATATAAACAATCAGTGTTGAAAATTTTATTTCCATAATAATTTTCATTGAATGTTTTTTTGTTTTTGCTTGTTTGGATGTAGATAGAGAAAATGTCCAATTCTATTAAATTATTTGTAAATGTTTTTGAAAAATAAAATTTCTATAAAATTAAATTCTTATTATTGTTTTTAATGATATCACTGGTGACAAGTAAAAAAGAAAATCAAACGTTGTTACTGTTTGGAAATCAATCACGTACGCCCATTAATTATGTCAAAACAACCAAATTACACATCCATCCAAACAACTATATGCGTTTCCTATAGGAGATTACATTTGGTGATCTGATGATGATGATGATGATAATAATATTATAAATAACAATGTAAACATCATTTGTATTGAGAAAGAAATAAAAAAAAGAAGATGAAGAAGAAGAAGAAAAACGATGTTCCTATGGAGTCAGTACATTACCAATGGTAACTATCATGAAACAAAATAAGAAAATTTTTTTTGGTTTCTTCCTACAACCATAAATATATTGATGATATTTCACTTGTTTATTGAAAGTTATTTATGTATTTGGACTTTTTCCTATTATCATCATCATCATAGAGATCCTCTTCCATCAATTAATTTAGTTGGATAAAATCCGTCCAAAAAAACAAAACCAAACTAAAAACAAATCAAATCATTTCGATCATCATCATCATCATTATTATTATTCAAATTTTCATCTTGAAAATATTGATTTTATTTTGTGTGTAGTTTTTTTTCCTAAATAAAAATCAATCATTTCACTACGATTAACATCATCATCATCATATTCATATTCATCTTATTCTTCACTACTATTATCATTAAAATTTTAAAAAATGACTGAAAGTCGTTTCGGTATTTTGTATGCGATTACACGTATTGTATTGGTCGTATTGATTCTCTTAATGATTATCATCAATATTGTTCATATTGCACAAACAAACCAAAAAACCGAAGATATTGTTTGGGTAGTTTTTTCATTTATTTCATTAGCAATCGGTTTAATTGGTGTTTGGCGTGAACATTTTCTTTTTTCATGTACATTTGCCGTTATTTTATTAGTATTGGCATGTGTAAGCGGTGCATATGGATTTATTTGGCTACAAACAACCGGTACTGTTATTCTTATTTTATTGGCTATTCTATTTACATTCATGTTATGGGATATGGGTAATCGTCAAATGAATGTACCGGATATGTGTTAGAATATTCACCCTTTTCCAAAAAAATAAAACCAATGAAAACATAAATGAATAATAACCCTATGTTTGTTTGTAATGTAATTTTTTTTCTGTTGCTTTAAATTGATTTGATTCGATTCAATGAAAATGAATAAAAATAAATAAATTTATAAAAAAATTTGACAGATTGATTTCTTTCGATCGTTTGAATCAAAAAAATCAAAAAAAAATCCAATCAGAACAGGGAAAAAAATGATATTTTTTGATTCAACAAGTTCTATTGGTTAAATTCAATTATGACAACCAATCAACAAAAAATGAAGGTAAATGCATCGAGATGGAGAAAAGATTCAACCGAAAAAAAATCAATGGTGATAATAATAAAACCACTTCAATAATATTGTTTGTTGTCAATGATGATTGATATTTTTTTTTCCTATGATGGTAATGGTTATAATCTTATCAGTATCATTTTATCATATCATCGATGGCAATAACAACAACAACAACAACAACAGAAAAATTTCTTTTTACTGGTGTTTTTGCTCGACCAAAAAAAAAAATACCATTATCATATTTATTCCAATATATATAAAAAATTACCCGACTAACAAACAAACATATATACAATTGTGTATTGAGTCACATTAATTGGCTCAATTTTCTGCTTTTTTTGTATTTTGCATTTCTGTTTTTTGCTTTTTGATTGATGTGTAACATACACAAACAAACTATTGAGATATTGATGACAAAAAAAAAGAAGAACTAAATTATTATCTATATATGTGGTTATAGCAAATCTAATCATAAAAAAATAAAAATAAAAATTGAATTGAATTGATAGTATGATTATCTCATTATCATTGAAATGAATGAATGAATGATTGGTAGCTCTCATCATCAACATCCCAATAATAATAATGGTAATGTGTCGATGTGATTGCCGTTTGCGATGAGAAAAGAAGATCAATTTTTTTTTGTTATTATCATCTATTTTTCTAACCGCTCGTTTTTTGCATGTTTGGTATTTCTTTTAAATTGGATTTTGTTTGTTTGTTTGTTTGTGTTTGTATGTGGGTGTCGACCTAGAATTTGGTTTCTGAATTTTTTCAGTTTATTTATTTTTTTTTGTTAACAAATCATGGAATCATTAATTGAAATAAATAACAATTTGATTGAAAACAATGTTGTTGGTGATGTTGATGATAATGAAAAAAATGTTAAACAAATTGATTCGATTATAAATCAAAATAATGATGATGATGATGATTCATCATCAACAACAATCGATAATCATATTAATTCAACTAGGTAAGATTTTCATTTACCAGATTTTTTTTTCATTGTTCCATAATCGTTTGATCAAATTTTTCTTTTTCTGTCGATGTCAGTAATTTTGTTGACAGTAATAATAATAATGATACTAGTCATATCGATAATAAAGATGCCAATAATGATAATGATGATGGTAATGATAATCAATCTGATTCTAACATCATCATCAATGATGATGATAGAAAACCGGATCATGATTCAATGAAAATGTTTGTCGGACAAATACCACGTGATTGGTGTGAAGATGATTGTCGTCGTTTATTAGAACAATATGGTGAAATTTATGCTATTAATATACTCAAAGATAAAGAAACGAAAAAAAGTAAAGGTAAGCCAATCAGTCAGTAATTTTGTTTACTTTGAAATTTATTTATTTTATTTTTACCTTCTCTTTCTTTAAACAAACATTATTAAATTATGAAATTAATCATTTTTTTTTTGTTTTCAAAAAACAAAATCAATGTTTACATTTATCATTTATCATTCACATAAATAGGATGCTGTTTCGTTACGTACTATACGAGAAAAGCGGCACTCGATGTAATGTCTATTTTGAATGTTTTTTTTTATTTTATAAAATTGTTCGAATTATTTTACTATTTTCGTTTTCTTTCGTTTTATTCCTGTGTTCCATATGTCCAATAATAATCATTGGTTTTAATTTCTTATCGTCAAATTTTTTTCTCTGTTTGTTTGTATCCATGTTTTTATGTTTTAAATGTCAACAACGAACAACAACAACAATAATAATAATTGTGTACAGGCACAGAATGCTTTACACAATCTTCAAAAACTTCCATCGGTAAGTTTGGTCTGTTTCTTTTTTATTTCACTTCAATATTTATTTATTTATAAATATTTTTTTCGGGTTTCGGGTTTTGTTTCTGTTGGTTTGATTTACATGCTTTGCATACATTCATCCGACCCGAAAAAAAAACACATAACCATAACCATAAACACGCCCATATAAAATTATCTATACACCCAAACTATCATGATAGATAGAAACTTCAGAAAGAAAAAAAAATATTAATTATCCATGTCATCGTCATTTTTGAATTTCTTCATTTTTGTCGTCGTCGTTTTTTGTTTGTTTGTTTTTTTTTTAAATTTGCTGCCATTTTATATGTATGTCATATAGTCTTTCTATGTCGTAGTCATCATTGTCATTGCTGCCATTGCCGTTGACGGTTGCCGTCACAATCATCATCATTATCATCATCATCATTGTCAGAATCGTAAACGATTCGAAACTGAATTTATTCTTTTGTGAAATTCATAATTTTTTTTATATTAAGTTTATTATTCTGTGATAATGTTTTTAATTGTACATCATCATTGAAACTATTTCATCATCATATCGTTTTCATTCAAAAGTCAATTTCAACAACATTAACTAATTCTAGTTTTTTTTCCTCTCAATTCTCGATTCTATTTTCTTCATCATCATTGATGATTGCTATAAATAAACGATGATGACGATGACAATGTGTGTTGAAAAATTTTTTTCCTCTAATTTTAATAACACAGTTCCAAGAATCCAATCTAAATTTCGAAAACAGAAAATTTGTTTCATTCATTTCAAACACGCGTTTTTTTCATTTTCCTTTTTGGGAAAAAATCGATTTTTTTTTTGTCGAAAAAAAGAATCGATTTCTGGTTTAGCTAGTCAAGTTTTTGTTTTTCAACTCGCTTCATGAATTCAATCAAAATTGCCAACGATCCTTAAGTATACAGGAAGAATTGTTTTTTTTTTAGTTTTCTTCCTTCACTTTTTTTTGGAAACTTCAATGAAAATTTGTTTCAAATGAATATCATTGTCTGTGTGTGTGTTTAATTGTTATACATACAGACATTCGGAAATCTATACCATTACTATTGTAATGATTTGTATCGATTGAGAATTGACAATTTGAAAATCAGAAAATCAAAAAATCAAAAAGAAAATTTCTCAATCTTCAATGATGTCATAAACAACAACAAAAACAACATCTTCAGCCAAAAAAAAAAATATTAATCATAATGATAGCCACTATAGTTTTTTGTTCAATTGAAAATCTTTTCAATTGAACAATTTTCTTCTTTTTTTTTTACTATTCAGATTAACAACAAAACTTTTATGCTCTGTTTACTTTTTTGTTGTTGTTGTTTTCATTGTCATCATCGGATTTTGTTGTTGTTGTTTTTTGCTTTCGATAAAAACAACAACAATTTTCTGCGAAATGTTCATCCATTGACGACAACAAAATGAAAGAAGAAGAAAATAAATTCCTGAAACACAAACATTTGAAATGCTTATATACGGAAAAAGAAAACTTGAAATATTTTCGATAGTTTCGGGTTAGTTTCGGCATTCACTCATTTTTTGTTGTTGTTGTTGTAACCATCGTGATTGTTTGTTTTGAATTTTTTTTTCTAGTCAGCTCCCCTTTTTTTCGAACGGTTTCCGCTCGATTTTTTTTCGTTGTTGTTGAGATTGTTGTTGTCACTTTGTTTTCATATTTCATATTTTATCGATAATCATTTCTTATTTTAAAATCCGAAAAAAAATTGTTTAAAATTTTAATGAATTCATAAAATAAAAACCCTGAATAACAGTGAAAAATTATCTTGTGGATTTACACCTTGAGTAAACCTTTTTTTTCCCGACTATTTTGTAAAGAAGCAGATGCATTTTAAAAGTATTTTTTTTTTAATTTTTCCCATCAACACAATAAATGATATTCTACCTACACCAAAACATTCTTGAAAAAAAATTTTCATTGTCGTTTATGGTAACCAGAATTATTATATTCTATAGAAACCAAAACGAAACAAAAATTCATTTAATTTTTTTTTTAAATTATTCGTTCGATTTCTTTTTCCGCATGTCTGATACATAAATGAGGTATTTTTTTTCTTAAATGTTTATTATCGATTGTTTTTTTTTTTGAAATTTGTTAGCTTTCAAACATATCCAACATCGATATTTCATCATCATTTTTTTTAACCAGAAAAAAAACATCGATCAAAAAACATTTTTTAAAAAATTTACTATCCTCTTCTTTTCATTTTCTATTTTCATTTACAATAATAATGATGATGATGTAAGAATTTTTTTTTCCAAAGAGTTAATCGTTTGTTGTTTTCTATTTTGATGTTGAATATTTTTTTTGGAGTGATAAAAGTTTTGAAAATTTATTGAAAAAAAAATTTCACTTTTTTTCTGTTATTATCCAACTTATTATTATTATTATTATTTCAATGGAAATGAGAAGCAAAACAAAACAAAAATTTAGTGCGAGAAAAAAATATATATTGAAAACGATGATGATGATGATGTAATATATAACGAATGATGATCGATAAAACGAGTAACGAAAGAGAGTGAAAGCAAAAAAGAGAAAAGAAATACTTTCAAGAAAGAAAGAAAACAAAAATCGAAAACAAAGATAATGATATAGAGTTATATAATATGACAAGATCAAATAAATGTAAAGTTAAAATCGAATGGTAAAAAAAGAAATTGACAACAACAACAACAACAACAAGAAAATTTGAAATTCATTCCAATTGGAACCAACCGTACGTCCCGTACTGTATATATCTCGGTATTTTTATTTCTCTATTACTTTGAATGCTGTTGCTGTTGTTGTTGTATCAAATACTCTTCTTCGCAAATCATTTGACTTTGACAATAATAATAATAATAATAATAATAATAATTTGAAGAAAGAAATTGGAAAAATTGATCATTTCGTTCTGTTTTCAGTGTGTTTTGTTTGTTTATTTGTTTGTTGATTTTCAATAATACTTTATTTTTTATTTTTTTGATACGAAATTATTTTCTGAACCTTTTTTTTCTCTATTTGGATATTTTTTTTTACTTATCTATTTCCTTTTATTCATTTTTTTTCCTCGTTAAATTTGTGAAAAAATTTAAATTGTTTTTTATCGTCATTTTTTTTCCTAAAACACAGTGCCGAAATCCCATTCAAATGAAACCGGCCGATAACGAAAATAAAAATGGTTAGTTTTTTTTGGTTAGATTAATATTTATTTTTTTTTTTTACTTGCCTCTTTTACTATCCGGGTTTTTTTTTCGTCGGCTAAATTATATCGGATAATATAATGTAAACAATCAAAAAACAATTAGATCGTAAACTTTTCATTGGAAAATTACCAAAATTTATTACGGAAACTGATATTTTACAAACATTTGAACAATTTGGCCAGATTGAAGAATGTATTATATTACGTGATAATCAAGGACAAAGCAGAGGTATGTGTTTGATGATGATTTTAATTTCAAAAAAAAATTTCATTTTCTATACTGATATCACAATGATTGATTGCAATTTGATTATTGAACAGAAAACAAAACAAAAAATAACATTTTTTTTTTCTTTCTTCACATATATTTTTAATATTCAAGGATGTGCATTTGTTACATTTTCCACACGATCAAATGCAACACAAGCGATGCGTGAATTAAATCAGACAAAAATATTTGATGGATGTTTGGTTCCTATTGTTGTAAAATTTGCCGAATCAAATCCCGATCATCATCAACAACAACAACGGCGTCAACAACAACAATCAAATTCTCATAGTAATCTTCAATCACCGATCACAATAATGAATGGTCTTTTTAATACGGCTCAATCGCCTATAGCTGCCGCTATAAATCTATCAACACAGCCATTAGTTTCCTATCCAAAGGTCCATGCTCAATCACCATATACATCGATTACATCATCAACCGGGACGAATACATTGTCGCCAATAGATCCAACAAATTCTGCTTATTTTAATAATTTGATAAAGTTTCAGCAACAACAACAATCTCAACAACAGCAGCAGCAACAATTGTTAAATATATCCACATTAAATCATTCTCCGGTGAATCCATATTCAACAGCTACAGCAGCAGCAACTATACCAACAGAATTGACCTATCCGAATCTGATTCTTGGAACTAAATCATCAGTGGCATCATATCCACCTGCAGCAGTATCGACAACAGCTGCTGCATTGATAGCTTCGGGTCAAATTCCTGCTGCAGCCTATCCTACTACGGCAAATATAACAAATTTAGCAATGGCGGCAAATGCAAAATTGGCCGATTCGTTAACGATGGCTGCTGCTATGACTGCATCATCACCATATCATCATGCCTATCATCATCATCACCATCATCCTGCTGTTTATCATGCCAAACATCATTTTGGTCTAACGACGACAGCGGCAATGAATAATGGCAAACAGATCGAAGGCCCTGATGGATCGAATCTATTCATTTATCATCTTCCAGGTTAGTTAAAAGAATCATTTGAACAACAACAAAAAAAATCCAAAAAAGTTAAAAAAATAATGAGTTTTTTAAATTGAAGTTTTTTAATCAAACTTTTACTATCTAAATTGTTTTTCTTCAATTTTCTTTTCTCACACACATTTTGATCGAACAAAATTTAAAATGTCGGATTACAATGTATATTATAGCCGAATACTCTGATTATGATCTGATCACATTGTTCGCTCCATTCGGTAATGTTGTTTCTGCCAAAGTTTTCATCGATAAAAATTCAAATCTAAGTAAATGTTTCGGTAAGTTATTGTTTTATTCTTAAAAATTTGGAGAAAGTTTTTTTTTCTTTTTTTCCTACTTGCTTCAATGACAATGATCCAAATTGATGTATACTTTGATTTTTTCTCATTTCTAAATTTACATATTGTCTTCTATCTATTCATTCATTTTATGTCTGGTCTTTGGGGTGCCATCACCATCATTCATTGAATTAATTCCAATGAATGATGATGTTGATTGCAATGTTTTGACGGACCAATGAACCAAACATTTCCGTTTTTTTTTTGCTTCCTACTCATAATGTTTCTTATTTTCATTTTTTTTGTTCTTTTTTTCTCTTCCTTTAATATCATACCACCATATATGATGATGACGACGACGACTACAATGATGATGAATTGTTTTGAAGGTTTTGTATCATACGACAATCCGGAATCGGCACAAAATGCTATCAGATCAATGAATGGTTTTCAAGTGATGAATAAACGTTTAAAAGTACAGCTGAAAAAAGTTCGTGAAAAACCGTACTGAATCATCATCATCATTATAATAATCAACATTTTGCCCAAATAATTTTGCCAATAAATGAAAAAAAAATCGAATAACAAAGAGAGAGAGAGAGCGGCCAACCCTTTTTTATATATGAATTTATATTTCAACTAGTCACGGCAATAAATTTTTTTGCAATGATCCAGAAATATTCAATATCTTTTTTTTCATATTTGATTTTTTTTCCTTGCAGACACATTCTATTAACGATGATTTCAAATAAATAATAAATTTTCATAAGAAAATTCATTGGTTTTCAATAATAATAATAATAATATTTTTTTTGTCATATACATACGCAAATTCATTTAATGAATTTTTTGTTGTTGTCAATACAACATTAATTTTCTTTGGGAAAAAAAAAATAATTCTATATAGAATTGGCCGATTTGGTTAGCCTTGGAATCGATGATCATCTGATGTATATGAAACAGAATGAAAAACAAAAAAAAACAATCTTAATCATTCCCATTTCCAGCCAATGCCATATACAAAGTCATTTGAAATTATCGTTTCAACCCCATATCAATATTATCCCCAGTCAGTCTTTTTTTTTATATAAAAAAAATAAAATAAAATTTTGATTTATCAAAATTAATTTTGTCAATATAAATTTTGTTAATGATAAAAATGTAACATTTTACAAGAATATTAAAGCAAAATCATTTATCTCTTTTTTGGTTTTTTTTCTAAGAAATAAAATGGAATGTGAATGTTTTTTTCATCTCTGCTCACCCGTCGTGGTTGTGTTTTGTTTCGTTTTTTGGTTTAGTTGTTTTAATGATAAAGTCATTTGATTGTAACATTGTAAATCTATTTGATTCTAATAAATGATAATTTATTTCATTTATTCTATTTACGAATCATGATCATCTAAAATATTTATATTGAAAATTTCATCCATAGTTATTTGTTTTAATTGATCTTTATCAATTTTTTGTTCACACATTGGACAATAATTATTATCATTGTTATCATCACCATAATCATTATTATTGTTTGTATTTTTAATCGTTGTTGATGATTTTAACAATTTCAATAGATAGGTTTTTATGGCTGGAAATTGACAATGAAAACATTTTGTTAGATCTGATTTGCGGATATGCATTCCACTTGCAATACAAAATGGTATGGCTGTTCGACATCCATTGCAAACAAATTCATCATCCAAAACTGATTCGCTACAATATGGACATGGATTTGATTCGATAGCTAATTCTTGTCGAAGTTCTTCATGACTAGATATTCGTTTTTCTGAAGAAGCTGATTTACGTACAAGATTTTCGATTTTTTTCTTCAATTTAGAATCAATTTGATTAAGATTTTCTTGTTTCATCAATATAAAAGCATATTTTAGTGCATTACGCATATAACCAGCTCGAATACATTCAACAACAACAGACGTTAAAATCTGAACAGAATCTACAAAATAGATAGAATACATTATTTAAAGTTCAAAAAAAAAAAAAATTCTTGACAATTTTCTTTATTGACTACTTACGTGAAGGAAATTGATTAATATTATCATAAACTCTTATCAATAGTTTTGCACTTATCTGATGATCACCGATCCGTATCCACAACTATGTTGAATTGAAATAATAATGATAACAAAAAAAAAAAAAAAAAAATAATGAACAAAAACAAAAGAGTTACAATGTTAACTTACTTTGGCCAACATATAACTATGTATTAACATTAAATTGAATACCNTATTTGATTACCCCCGACCCGTTTCCACAACTATGTTGAATTGAAAAAAAAATGAAAAAAAAAAAAAAAAAAAAAAGAATAATGAACAAGAACAAAAGAGTTACAATGTTAACTTACTTTGGCCAACATATAACTATGTATTAACATTAAATTGAATACCATTTCCGATGGTATTGCTATATGATTTTTTCGTAATTCAATACACATACTAAAAAATAGTTGATGTGCATTACGATAATTACCGGACATCTGTTCTTCTCTAGCAATAATTGTTGCCGTTTTTGCCGCTTCAGCATAATATTTCAATTTCATATATAAACGAAAAAGGTATTTAAAATCTTTTGGTATACCATCCGTTTCACCCATTAAATAATCTAATATAAGTCTTGTGATTTGTTCATCATGTACACGAGCAGCAACATCGATTGCCATTGTTAATGCTTCATTTTCCATTTTTTGATGATGACTATTCGAATCACCATTCAATTCAATTGTATTATTATTATTGTTGTTGTTGTTGTTATTCATCAATTGACGATTATTATTTATTGAATTTTGTTGCATTTTCGTTGTAGATTCCAACAATAATTTAACGCCTTTCCGCCACATCCGTGCAATGCAATAAAATTTACCAGCTTTGAATAAATTATTCTCTTGTTCATAATAGATGGCAATCGTACGGAAATGTTGTAGATTGGTTTTTCCATTTCCATTATTCATTAAATTTGTTACTTTTTCTCCATTTTTATTATCATTTGACATTGGATCATTAGTTTCAACATTTTTACCATCAACAACATTATTATCATTATCATCATTATCATCATCAATATCAGCTGCATGATATTGCATAATATCAGCATAAATATCCATTTGTCCTGTTGTCAATGCTAGATTATATGCATCATCATAACATTTGGACATTATTAAAAATTCAATAGCTGCTGTCATATCATTAAGACGTTGAAAAAATCTTGCAACTAATTTTGCACCAGCAATTGATTGATGTTCACGTACAATTTTAACGGCTTCACCCGGATTATTAAGATGATCCAGGTTAATGCGAACAACATCTTCCCATCGTTCAGCTTTCCCATATATTTCCGCTGCATGTCGAAATTGTTTTTCCATTTCTTTAATCCGACCATATTGGCCAAGAATTTCTCGATCCGATATTTTCGATATAAGACCAGACAATTTAGCTGAATTTTTTACCTTCAGATACAATGTAGCTGCCTGATTATACTGTTGACATCGTTCATATAGAGTAGCAGCTTCTTGAATATGATTGAAACTTTCCAAAATTGATGCACATTCTTGAATCAATTTAGCATCATTCAATTGGTTGGCAATTGTTAACGCTTTTTTAAGATTACCACATCGAATTGAATTTCTTGCTATTCCAGCCAGACAAAGTTGTTTATGTTCACTGTTATCGATCAGTTCTTTTGATTCATTTTTCATTTTTTCATTGTCGTTCGCTTCATCCGATGATTGATTATTCAATGCGGCCTCGAAATTTTCCAATGATTTTGAATATTCTTGACGTAATTCTTGAACAAAAGCAAGTTCACGAGAAATAATCGGTATATCGTTGGGCAATAAATGTCGTGCTAATGCTAACGCTTCATTCCAATGTTGAAGATTTTTACGCATTTCCAATGCTCGTATCGGTTGCGATGAATTGAGAAAATGTTTCTGTGCAAGATCATAATTGGCCAACATTTCGGCCAATAAGCCACATAAAAGACTATGTTCTTCTTGATTACGATAACGTTCCAGACAATAAACAATTGTAAATTTATACAATTTTTGATAAACACAAATGGCTACATTTAAATCTAAATCCTGAATGGCTGCACGACCAACAGCAATCCATAGATCTTCGGATTCATCTGAACCAAGAAAATTACAGATTTTGATTGCATCTTGATAACGACGAAGTTTAAGAATATTACGAAATACATCACGTTTAAATGTTGATGGAATCGTTGTATTGGAGTTATTTTTGATAGCATAATCATGAGTGGATAGAACAAAATTTGATGTTTTACCACTTTTTGTTTGACATACTACCACACCGTTATATAATAGAAGTGGATATTGTCCACTTGGGATTTTCATACGACCAACAAAATCGACAATCGATCCATGTATCGTAGTTAATGGTGATGAATAAACATGAATAAATTTATTATCACAAATAGTAAACACACAATGATCATGCATCCAACTTTCCCATAAAATTTTTAAAGGTCTTGATGGTACATGATCGGTTGGTATCGATATCAATGTTTCACCATAAACATTATAAACATAAGCTTCATTTCTTGAATCAATCAAAACTAATCTTGTACCATTTTGATTACATTGAATCATTTGTATTGATTCTCGATGTCTATATACAACAGTCATATCCCAATCTTCAATAATAAAATATATAATTGTACCATTATCAGTAGCAAATATAAGAAATTCATTGGTTAAACATAATGATGTGACTGAAATTTTTTTATTATTCATTCCAATTTGTTCCTGTTTTTGGCTATCCGGATATAAAAAATACTGTTGTTTATTATTATTATTATTTGATTGAACATTAATATTTTGCTGACGTTGTTCAATCGGATGAAATTGTAATGAACCATTTGTAAACAAAATAACCATATAAAATTGATTCAATTTAATATCTTTGATTATTCCTGTATATTCACATTCTTGTGGTGGCATTTCAATTTCCGTAAGTATATAAAGCCATACTTTATTGTTCATTGCAATAGCTAAATGAAATGGACCAATTGCTAAACGTGATGGTTCAATTTCAATACGTACAATCATAACCGAATCTTGTATCTCTTCATGTACATTGAATACAGTTACTTCAAGTAATGATGATAAAAATGCTAAACTAGTACCACAATTATCACCAATAATTTTTAATTGTGATAAATAAACATGAATATTTCCCGAATTTGAACATAATGCTAATAATTGTCCATCGGCTGTCCAATCAATTTGAACAATTGATGGTTCATCATCAACAGTAAATACACTTTCAATATCATTATGTTCATAAAGATCAAATATTTTGATACTGTAAAAAAAAATTTTCATTACAAAAATAATTTAAAAAAAAATTTTTGTTTTAAAAACATACTTATTTTCATCACAAGTTGCAATACGATTATTATTCATACAAACATTAAATGTTGTCATCGATTCTCTATGTGCTTTAATCTGTAATAATTCCACACCGAAATTTTTCATACCCGTTGATATGGTTATAATCAAACCAGATGTAAATGCAATGAAAATATTTCCACTCGGATAACAATAATAATCGATAATATTTTCATACCAATCTTTAAAATTTAAAATAAATGAATTTTCACTATCCTGTATGTTTAACATATATAACATTCGTTTGTTCAATACAAGACAAACACCATTTTCAATATTATTATTATTATTCGATTTTGTTAATGTTGATGATGCTGGTGATGTTGTTATCGTTGTATCCTGATATGAATAAAAAAATTTTACATTTGATCCATCACCTTTTAATGTATTATGTATTAATGTATCACCATCTTCATTATTAACAGTTAATATATGATCTTCACCAACAATAGCAAACATATTGGCTGTACCGATTGAATTCCAACAACAGCTAATAATACGTTTATTATGTTTACCATAAATTGGATTTTTACGAGCTGTTTGATTATTATAAATTAGTATATTTCCTTTATTTGTACCTAATAATAGATTAGAATGATTTAATTTTGACCATGATATTGTTGTTAATGTTTCTTTCATTCCGGAATCAATTTGTTCCAATTTATTTGTAATAGAATTCCAAAGAAATATTAATGATGAACGATTTGTTATAATTGCCAACCAATCACCATCTTCATCCCAACAAAGTGCTGTACATAAACTTAATTTTTTGGAATTTTATAATCAAAAAAAAACAACAACAAACAAACATTATAAATCAATATAACAATTAATATAAAAAAAGATAAATAATTTACCCAAATAAATTTATCTGATCAACATGTTCACCATGTCTATTATAAATATTAATGATATTATCAGTTGAAATGGCTAAATATTTGGATTTTTTTGTCTGCCATTTAAATAGACATTGATCATTGATATTTGATGTCATTGATGTGCATGGTATTGAATAGATTCTTTTCATTTTTCTTGTTTTTTTTGTTTTGTTTCTTTGTCTGATTTAATTTTCATACAAAATAATCAAAAAAGATTTAGTGAAAAGAATAATCCTCTTAGGATGAAAAAATTCTTATCGATTTTCGTATTTTTCGATCGAGCAACTTTATTAACAACAAAACGAAAACTGTATCGTCATATTTTCGGTGTTTTTTTTCTGTTGATCCATTGTTTTTTTTCTCATTTCATTTCAATGGTTACCATAGTGATTTCGTGAATGGTAACGGTGTGCGTGTGCTGGATTTTTTTCTTTCAAAAAGTTTTTTTTTTGCTTCGAAATCGATCCATATTTTGGACCAATGGACAAAACATCAAGATTGATGATGAAATTTTTGAAAAACTGAAATTTAGAAAAAAAAATTAATTTAAATAATTTTTTTTACAAAAAAATATGGTGCTTGACAATAATTGAAAAAAATTAAGAAAATTTTTTTTTCAATTCTCCTCATCACACTGTCATCATTCATTAACACAATTTTTTTTCATTTGAAAAATTAATTTTTTTTGTTCCCTATTTTTTCGGGAGAATTGTCCATTGGCGTTGGTGTCACATCAAGGGTTTTGTCGCTAAAAAAAGCTGTTTGCCTTCATTATCAAACAGAAACAAAACAAAACAATATGTCATGATATACGCGGCAATCCAAAATGTAATGTGTTTCAAACTGAGAACCATGACCAAAAAAATCCCATTTGAATTAATTCAATTATGGTATACTCGAAACAAAACAAAAGATCTAAACGATCAAAACAAGCAGAAAAAAAGCCGACCAACAATTGAATTTAAATTGGAAAATGAATCAAGAAAATGTGAAAATTATTTTAAACTTGAAAATTTTTTTTTCAAAAATTGAATCAAAACAAAACAACAACAAAAATATATTATCGAATGATGATCGTCATCACGATGATGATGATGATGGTAACAATGTTCCTTTCCCAATTCCAAAAACAATTTTTCTTTTTTCTTTTTTTTTCATTTCATTTAACGATGACAACATTTTGACTGAATGAATGGATGGATGGATGGTTATTTATATGATGTTGGTACTAAAATGAAAAAAGATCATAGAAAAAAAAAGTCAAATTCCTTACACTTTCATCATTGGATCACTCTCTTTTTTTCCGGGAAAAAAAAGAAATCATTTGGGAAAATTGTTTTTTTAACATTTTGTTTGTCAAAACTTGTTTCATTCTATAATTATGTGTAGTATTTTTGAATGTTTTTTAACGGAATTTTAGTTATATAGGCGAGAAAAAGTAGGAAAAACAAAATAATGTTTTTTCCTCCATCATTTATCAAATGAACATTTCATATATAATTTAGAATAATAAACAAAAACAGCTTGTTAATGTTCCAAAACCGGCTTTAAAAAAAATCATTATCATCAATGTAAACTGTTGATATTGAAATGAAATGATTTTTTCGTTTTTTAAGATTGCAATGGTCAACTAACTAATCATTCACCTAACTTCAATTTGATAATAAATTCTTGAAGAAGAAAAAGAATCAAAATAAATTAAATCATGAAAGAAACAACGACAACAACAAACCAAAATTCAATGATTAATTATGATAAACAAAAAGAAAAAGAACAGAAAACATATTGATTTAATGGAAATCATTAGTTAGCTAGATTCTTACAAGACAAAAACATTAACAAAAATATAAAATCATTAATAAATTTTTCATCCATCATAATCCAAATTGAATTTTGTAATTTTCTTTCTTTCTTTGTTTTGGTAATGAAAGAATGTCGTAGGCCTACACTGAATCATATTCGACTTACTGGCATTTTTGTTTTCCTTTTGGAAATATTTTGACATGTTTCCCCATACATAGATCAGACTTTAGTGTTTCAAGTCATTCTGGATATATGTGTAATGACATCATTCATATCATTGATTATTAATTGAATTTTTATCTTTTGGCTAGGAATTTATTAATTTGTTTCAGAAATGTGCTGTTTTTTGTCCATCGTTATATAATGATGATGGGTTTTTTTTTGTTTTTGTTTTGTTTTGGTTTTACCTTTATGTTTATTCTTGCTTATCAAACGAATTTTATCTTATCGATTCATTTCACATCATTCATTCATTCAATTCTATGATAATGATTCTATAGTTAATGTATTTGTTTTTTCAAGCTAATCATTGTAGAAAATCCTATCCAAAATAGAAAATAGTTTTTCATTATCAGTCTCTAGGATTTAATAGCTAATCATCATCATTATTATTTCTTTCTTTCTTTTTTTGTTTGAATTCCATTAGTATTCGATACATATTTTCACCACAAGAAACAACAACAAAATGAAAAACGAAGATTCCATTGGACCCGGATATTGACTGTGGTTATTCTCTTTCTTTCTTTCGTTTTTTTTCATTATCATCATTAATGTTGTGATGATTGAATGGTCAATAGCATCAAACAACAACCATAACAAAAATGAAATCTTTTCTCATAAACAAACAAACAAACAAGGAAAAAAAGATGACCAAACAGAAAAAAAATGTCAAAATTAACTTAACGATCACTAAGTTACTATACAGATCATCATCATCATCACACATAATAAAAATATATTTTTCCAATGAATTTTGACAGAATTTTTCATCATCTTCTACTTTTTTTTGCTTTGATGACAATCTTCTGTTTCAAATTCATTTAAATTGTTTTGCTGTTGCTGTTGTTCTGTTATGTTTTCTTTTTCTTTTTTTGTTGGTGATGATCAACACACAGTTGATAATTGTCATTATTATCATCATCATCATCATTTTTCTTCTTATTCGCTGTTGTTATTGTCAATGAAAAGAGAGAATTCCTTTGAGAAGAAATATTTTTTTGCTGTTGAATTTTCTGTTTTTTGGCTTTATCATTGCGACAAATTCTGTGTGTGTGTGTGTGTGTGTGTGTGTTGGCGAGAGAGAGAAGGAGAAAGAGAATAAGATGAAAAATGTGAAAAAATAAATGAACCAGAAATAGGAAAAAAACCCAACTATTTTCAATGTTTTTGTATTTGTTGGTTGCATAATAAAAAAAATGGGTGTTTGGGTGTGCACAAATAGATCAACTTGATGATGCTAAATGATGATGATGATAGAAATGATGTGCATGCTTATTGTTCAAAATCTGATTCGAGTCGAAGCAATTGAACAAAACAAAACAAAACCAAAAAAAATTCTTTGCTGAAATTGAAAAAAAAAGATGATGATAATAAAAAAGTTATTCTGACAATTCTCATTTCTTATTCTATCACTTTTTCTCTCTCTTCCTTACACTCATTCACCACTTTATTTTATTCCATTTGGATTTCTTTAGGCTAGGCTTTTCGTTTATTTCTTTCGAACCATGGTTCTCGTATCATTAATGTTTTTCTTTTCTTCGTATTTTCGATTGTTGTTTTGTTTTTTTGAAATAAACAAGGCTAAACCGCGCCAAATCCTAAATACATCTACACACACAAACACAACAACAAGAGAGAAAAACAACATTGGCTACCTCTCTCTCTTATGGTTGAAAAAATATTTTTGTTGTTTGTCGGCGGATAGCATCTTCATTTCACGCATCCAACCATATGGAAAACCATAATAACCATATATACACAATAATAAAAAAGAATCCGATTCGAAATCATCATCAGTACAGACCAGAAATTGAAAAACCAAAACCAAAACCAAAAAAAACAAAACATTTCAATTTAGATTTTTTTTCTTCTTCTTCTTGTTTCGAAAACCATCATTTGTTGTTTGGTCTGAAATGAAAAACCAATCATCAAATTATTATTCAATCAAAAGTTTTAATTACTAATTTAATTGAAGAATTTTGATGATTGAATTTTGATGATTGAAAAATTATCATTCAAGATTGTGCATCTAATATATTTTTTTTTAGTATGGTGTGAAAATTTACATCTTGTTTTTTTTTTTGTTTAATTTTTTTCCTCTTAAAGTTATAATGGAAAATTTCAACTTGTTTAAACAAAAATGAATTTTAAAATTTAAATTTTAAAGAAAAAAAACGATAAAAAAAATTCAATTTGTCTTTCTGTGATGCTTGTGTTTACCTGTGTTCATCATCATCATTTGAGCTTTGCAATTTTTTTTCTTCAAAAAAAAAATCATTCCACATAATCCACATCAGGTCTTATCATCACTGGTTGTCGATAATAACATTACATAAACAAAAACAACAGAAAAAACAAGGTAAGTTTAATAATTAATTTCATTTCATTTCCGTTACTGAAGCTTTTTTTATTGAAATTTAAAAAAAGAAATTTAAAATTTAAATCGTTTTTTTAACAATGAAGGAAAATTGTTTTTTCAACATTGTTTTCAGTTCTTTTTTGTTTGTTAAAATTAAATTTCAATCACTTTTTTGGGATAGTTTATTGTTGGTTGACGATTTCTTTGTTATTTTTTCATTGCATTTTTTTCTCAGAATATTTTATCCCCGAAAATTCCGGAAAAAAATGAAACAGAATAATTTTTGTTTAGTTAGATTGCTCACTTTATTATTCAAATTGCGAATATTTTGCTTCATTTTCTCTCCCCTCTCTTTCATCATTTTCATATGTTCCATTTTGATGACTATGTGTGCATCGTTGTAGAAATTCTATTAAGATTTAATCAAGATAATAGATTTATAGCTATGACAACAACAACAACAACAACATTATCGAAGAAAAACAAAATTGATTCTCTCTCTCTCTCTCTCTCTCTCTCGCTTGATTCTTGATACATGTTGAAAATCTTGAGATTTCCAAATCTTCATTATTCACTATTAGGGAGAAAATGATGTCGATTTTCTTGTGTAAATTTCAAATGAAGAAACATTATGATCATCTTGAATGAAAAGATGCTAAAAGAATTCGAATAGAAAAATAAAGAAACAAAACAAAACAAAAAAAAATTTATCGATTCTTGACAGAATTTCGATTATCAAAGACCTTTTAAAAATGACATTTAGCCAAT